TCAAAGGGCACCAACTGTGCATGACAGTCACGATAATGCCGGCGGATCGAACGAGCGGCAATGGCACTATGCCAGTAGGCACAATGATTGGACAGTTCCTTCATCAAGGCTTTGTTGAGGAGAAGGCCAGGAATGCTTTTGTATCTGAGATGCATACGAAGGTCAGGTCGATCACAAATGGGCACGATCTGGTCCTGCAAGGCATTGAAAAATAAGCAAACGGAAGAAATCAGTGAATTTCTTGTTACAATGTCGGCAAGTGGGGTGTCCATTTGTCGTGTCACGTAGAGGATTATGTAGATCTTCTTGAATACAGGGGATCTGGTGATATTCCCTGAGATGACGCTTGTACGGACCTGCCTGAGTGAATGCTCGGTGGCATTCATGGCATTTGAATACTGGAACCTGAATGCACGGGTCAGTGTGTGTCGACGGGATCGGAATGGGTGTATCTGGATAGTCTGGGACATGAACTCCAGCATCACTAGGCGTGGTCGACATGGTGGATACTCGAAGGTGAGACCGACGGTGACTCAAGGAATGAACCAAACGATCAAAGTGTCTTTGAAGCATGTGCCACGGTGGTCACAAGCCAAGACTGTGGAAGAATTCCTTGGTGGGTATGCGAGTGAGATGGACTGGTGCATGTGCCATCGATCGAAGGTGTTTGTTGATCATTCCTATGATGGTGCCACAGCCATGGTGTGTAAGGCCCATTTCAAACACTCCATAGAGGACCGTGGGAAGAACACATTGACGATATAATTTGATCCGTTTCTGCAGAGGATGATGCTTGTCTAGGAGCCACCTCCGCAGGATTCGAAAGCAGGTTTGAGCTGCTGTGAGTCTGCGTTTGGTCGTATCGACTTCCCATGCTCTATACGAGATGATGACTCCGAGATAGGTCGTTTTGGCAACCAGCGGCACAGTAATAGCCATGTCTGGCATTCGAAGCATTGGGCCATTGGCCGTTCGACTGATCCATCGTTTCTGGAACGAAGGAAGGGCCTTCCCAACAAGTCGAAGCATTGCAAAGCTCTTATTAGGATTGATCTTCAGGCCATAGGCTCCAAACACCCTCATCAGGAAGGATAGATCGTGCATAGCGCGAAGTCCATCTGCTGGTGATTGGACAATCCAGCGCATGTGAAAATCGTCTGCATACACTAACAAGTGGTCTAAGATCCAGGTGTGGTCGTATTGAGCTAGTAAGTCGTGGAGGATGAGATACATCGTAAGGTTCCAAAAGAGCGGAGCATCCTTTGATCCTTGTTGAATGCCACCAGTTGCCTGGATTTTACCTACAACTTCCTTGAAGGGAATGAAGTAAGTGTGGGGGGTCAACCACGAGTGCGCTAACGATTGGAGGTCACTAGAGACCTCTAAGGCATGGAGAGCCCTAGAAACCAGCTGTCGGCTGATGGTGTCAAATGCCTTCTCCATATCTAACGAAATTTGGAGGCCTCCCCAAAGACCTGCTTTGTCATCGTCTTTACGATGAGCAGTGCAGAGCTCTCTCACCTGTCGGCAGTGATGGGACACTGTCAGAAGACACTCACGTGTTCCTCGGTGAGGCATGTACGCATACATGGGCATCTGACAAAGGGGACCGTGGGCCTTATCGAGTAACAAACGGCAATGGATGCTGGACATGACCTTATGCATCGGGTGTTGAAGACATATCGGTCTAAGTGCAGCCGGTTGATTAGGTGTTTTATTGGGCTTGGCTAGAAGGTGTAGCCAGCCGGCTGACCAATGTGACGGTGGTAGACTTTGTGTTTTACACCATGCATGACTGATACAGGGAAACATCACTGGCGTCAGAATGCTCGCAAAGTGTCTCCAAATCAAAGCAGGGAAACCGTCAGGGGCCAGTGCTTTCGTCACCGGAAGGTGTTGAAGTTCATGAAGTACATCAGCCTCGGTGAATGGCAATCGAGTCGGGGCAGGAGGGATCGAGATTGGTGCTTGAGAGTCCGTGAACAAGTCTTGAAAGTATTGGGTCAAACGTTCAAGTTCTTGGGCTTGGGACAATGGTGCACCATGCAAATCAAACATCTGGATCCGCCTGAAGGAATGCTTAGGGCACAGAGTACGAATACGCTTATACCAATCATGCAGCTTGTTCTGCAGGACGAAAGGGACACTCTCTGCAAGAAAGGTATCTAATCTGGTTCTGTCCGCTTTGACGTCTGATGACTTGATGAATCTTCTCGAAACGAATGACGTAAGACCAGCCCTGAAACAAGGCCTGCAAAGAAACAGATCTGAGACGGAGCAATTGTCGTCTGGCAAACCACATTTGAGCTGCCAAGGATTTGACCTGAGAGCACATGGGGCGGTGCTGACTCACCCTTGGGAAGTGGTTTTGACACAGCTGGCGTATTGCCTGTTCAACCTGGATACAAATTGAGATGGGATCATCCGACTGTGGTGGTGTGGTGAGGGTGCAAACTGGGTTCATGACTTCAATTTCGAAGATGAGCCAATTCTCAGTCTGTGACTGATATTCAAGCCTCAATCGATGACGGTCTATCGAATTAATCGGAGGTTGTTGACGGGGAGGTGCAAACCATTTAGGTAAGGACATGACCAAGGGATGGTGGACAGGTGCGCTGCTTCCAACAGTTCGTTCGAACCGAATCAGTACCTAAGCACGATGTTTGGTCCACTGGACTTGATGACGGCGAACAAACATGAAGTCTATTCGACTGGAGTGATCCCCGTGCTGGAACGTAAGTTGCCAGTGATGTTGACAGTGAACTGCAATCAGATCTAGATCACGAATCATGGTTTGAAAGTCTTGTTTATCACATTGGGTGGCCTGACCGTACTTGGGGTCACGTGAATATACATAAGGTGCGTCGGCAGTCAGGGGTGTATTGCAATCACCTGCAAGGAGCAAAATGTGACTCTTGGGAACATAGTGAATGCATTGGCGGATGGCTTCAAAAACCTGAAGTTTGTTTTGAAGAAGGGTTTGACGATCTTTCAGAGAACTCCAGGAGTGCTAATAAACACAAATGATATCATGGATTCGTGTTAAATGCAGGCGAACATGTATGAACCGGCCTGGACACAGTTCACTCCAGGCAAGCTAATCAGGGCGCAGCAAGCGTCGACGGATCATGCAAAGGACGGTGGTGCTCGATGGCCATGTGAATGCAGCATATAGACACCCATTGATCGCCGAAGCGTCATCCAATTTCTTACAAGATAGCCCCATCATACGATGTCTAAGAGAGCCAAGTCACCCATTCGTCCAGTAGAAGCCCGTTGGAGGCGTTCCAGCAGAACACATTCAAGGATTCTGTAGGCCTTGTCTATGGAATCGAAGATCTGACCTTCACATCTGGTGTATTGGCCTCTTGAGTCAGTTGTTGACGGATCCTGAAAGATATGTTAGAATACCAAAAATCCTTTCCACGATAGCGGATACAGCCGTACTTAAAGGCCCGCTTGCAGGCTCTATAAAAGCTACTCTTGATTTTCTTGCATCTGGATGGATCCACAATTAGGCCGTAGCCTAATATCGCCCAAACCTCATGAACTTTCGTGCCTAGCCGTGGATTGGACGGCGTGGCAACGACACTCTCACCACCAAGCGAGGTCTTAGTGATAACCCTCGCGTCAAGCATGGATTGTCCAGCATGTATTGTTAATTAAAGATATACCATACCCCCAGGATTTGGGACCTGGTGTCTCAGCTGTCCAAGAGATGGCGCTTAATCTTCATTTTAGCGATATATATATATATATTCGTGAAATTTCAATACTTTATTTCCCGAATAAGTAATATATTTAAAAATATCTTACATCAAAATAACTATAAATCATTACCTCATTGTCAAAATTACGTATATTTAAATTATAAATTTAGAATATTAAAAACAAAAATCAAAGAAACCGTTACGCACTGTCATAACTAAGCACGGAAATACAAAAGCTTCATTTCCGTCATCCTTTATCAATTTCTGAAAACAAATCTATCGATAAATTTTTCGGAAAAAATATCGCGAATCTCATCACGAATCTTTCGCGGATAATTCTAATAATATCTAAAACACTATTTTCTTTAAATTTCCTTACACGGGATTTTCGATCAATTCACCTCTATAATTTCTTATATTTAATGCTTTGTATTAAATTCAATATCCTATTTTAAAAAATAGATATTAATGTAAAACATATTATACTATATGTATATTCATTTTTTCATATCCCGTATAAATACATATAATTTTAGAATTGACATAATGAATCTAATGTTTTTTTTTTTTAAGGATAAATATTGGTAAGATCGAAAAAATATATTCAAATTGAATTTTAGATAATTTTAGGATAAATAGAAGAATGGCAAATGTGCAAGCCAAAGGGCGACAAAATAGAGCTCGGCAGATTTGTAAGCCCTGAAACATATATAAATCCCTGCGCATTTGGGGGCACGCTAGGCGAGATGCTCAAAAGGAACAGAATCCTACATGTCAGGCACATCCCTGCAGTTTTGGGCAAAGCAAGGAGAACTCAGGTAGCAAACACTGAAAGACTGTGAGTTTGGCGCACAAAACTGGAGCAATGCAGTTGCAAGCATTTTGCCAAGAGCTGCACCCAAATGCAACACGCACAAAGGGGTAAAAGCACAACTGAACAGCAAAAAGACTACGACAGTCAAGGCAAAGATGCGGGCTCATGTCATGAGACAGGCAAGGAAAGGAACACAGAAGCTTGTGAGGTGGTCATCTGACAAAGAACATGTTGCAGCTGTAGCACAAAGAAGCCACTAGCGCTGAGTGAGCGCAACTGAACAACTGCATAAATGAAGCTCACCGGTCCCGCCGCATGTGCACTGCTTTGTGATGAGTCACCACTAGCATGTCAGGGTGAAACACGATGTACAAGTTGGCTCATGAGCTTGGACTTGGTGGCCCATCCACACCAGGAACAGCTACAGCATGGAAAAGAAACAGCACTTAGATTGATATTTTTGCAAAACATCAAAGCTGCTGTGGAATCCAGGTTGGGATGATCCCGCCTTGGCCTAGCTCAGTCCTTGGATTGGCGTCGTGATGCTCGACGTGCCTGGTGGCGAAAAGTAGTCACAAAGTGCACTCGACGAAACTGGCCACTCTCACAGTGTGCCTCTGGCTCGCCATCTTCTTGGGAGTGCATGGTGCTTGCCTGGCAATAACCCAGCACTATGATGTGCGGCAAGCACTCAAGGATCAGCGCCTTGCGGACTTGGTCCCGGCTTGGGCTTTCTTGCTCACCAAACTGCGCACGCATGAGTTTGCTTGCAAACAGCTTGCAAAAGTAACTGCTGTGAAAAACCAGCAGGCAATAGACAACATGAACCACATATTCAACCGATTCTTCCACCCGTATCTTCCTTGCAGCCGACAGCTGCACAGAACTGTTTGATAACATTTGACAATGCTGCGACTCAGAACCTATGATAAAGTATGAGGAATCTTGAATCTGCACAATTATGAGTCAACTGACCTTTTTACATCTTGGATCCAGTGACAAACTTGGCTGGGCAAGCTCACTCCAGACTGGCCTCACTTTCATCTCCGGATCCTTCAGATCTCGGAAGTTCTTCGGCTGATATTTCTGGCTTCTGTTCCTCAGCCTCCAGATCCTCTTCTCCCAGTTCGCCTGGTCCCTCCTCAATTTCCTGATCTTCTTGTTGACCTTGGTCCTCTTTTGCACCGCCTTCGTTTGAAGGGTCCTCTTGCAGGTCATCCTGCAGATCCTCTCTCTCGTCTGTTGACCTTTTCCTTCCTAGTCTTTGCCGCTCCATCTCGTGAGGGTCAACTTCTTCATCTTCCTCCACCTCCTCCTCTTCAGGTTGTTCTGCAGCCTCAGACTCTTCATCAACATCTTCCGCAGCAGAGAAGGAACGCCTCTGGATCCGCTGAACCCGTTCAGCTTGCGCGTTCCTTGAAAGGTAGCATGGGGATGCGTGGGGTTGGATAAGTGCAGCAAAACCACTAATTCAAGGAGACTGCATGAGAGGGGCCTTTGAAGTTCAAGAAGCTTCTTGTTCATATCTTGCTTTTCCATGTCTGATGCGAAAATACCTCGATACAGAAACGGTTTACTGTAAATCCGTTGCAGTGAATCAAAGATATGAAAGAAGAAAGTCATCGTCAGGTCGCAGTTGGATTTATTCATGTTCCTTTTTTCTCGATCCGATGAAACACCAGGCATCAGCTCAGACCAACGCACATCCATGGCTCGGTCAGTTCGTAGGGAATCGGACACCTGGTCGTGCAGCTGAGCTGTCAGCAATTTGCCAGTCATGAGGCGCTGCAGAAAAAAACACTGTAGCAAGACCCTGGCGGAAGTCTATCAGGTAGTGGTGGTGGTGCCTGCACTTGAAATTTTACCAGCAGCCCTCGCATGAAAAGTCCTGAGGTTGTGGCAGGCACTTCTTGATCTCGAGACAGAGTCGAATGGCCGAGGAGAGTTGGAGTAGAACGGAGATCTGGCCATGCAGAACCAAACAAGACACGCCGCGCTAGTTGACCAAATCAAAAGGATCTCTTTCCAGCGTGGCATGAACGTGCTCTCGATGTGCTACGTCTAATTATGTGCAGTTTTTCTGTTTATGAATGCAGCAGGCCAAAACTCCCCAGCATGGCTCAAGATCAAACATGAATAAACATAACATAAGGCGTAGGATGCTGCACGCAAAGGCAACAAGCACAAACTTGACGGAGCAACATTAGGTTAAGCGTGAAGTGTGCATGGATTGCATGGTCAGTACCCCCAAAAGCAGGGAGCATGGCATGGCTGGAGCTGCTGGATGGTGTTGAAAGCTTCAAAAATATGAAAACGGACCATCAATTCCAGTTGTTAAAAGCATGAGACGGCCTTGGATAGTCCCTAAATGCGCGATTTGTCAGTGCCCGTCCTCTTGCGCGAGTTGTAAAATGAACTGCTGCATATGGGCGTGTATTCTTACTGTGCAATGCAAACATATGCAAACCATACGCATGTGCCGCATGTGCCCTCTAGAGTGTAGAACCCTGGTTCTGCCTGGAACGCAGGTTAGCTGTGGGTTTTCCGGCTGTGGTAAACGCTAAAGTGGTTTCATGGGCGAGAAGTAGACGCTTTCATCCTTTCCGACTTTAATGACATGGATGACACCAATGTCAATTTGGATGACATGCAACGTGTCTTTTGGGAGGTGATCCACCGCCAAGACTCACCCATCCACGCTAAGCAAACAACATTCGTATATATATATATATGGTGTATATGAGGCACATCATGTGCACGTAGCGGTAGAAGTTCCCCTAGAATGTGCGAAATGACGGGTGCACGTGGAAGTTCTTTCAACATGTTTAAGCCACCGGCTTTAGCTGAAGAAGGGAACAAACCACCAATTGGTGCTGGGGTCGCACAAACAGCTGGACGAACAGTCACCCCAAGCTGCTCAAATTTAATTACAGTAATAGTAAGCAAATTCGACACTGAATGGCGCCATCATCTAGTTGAACGGGAAGCGGCATTCTGTTCGTAGACGTTACATGAATCCACATTATCTATATGACATACCCCTAGATTGTCCAAGACGCAAATTAATTCCTATGAAAAGTGTCAGCAATACAAAATGGTGCACGCAAAAACCCGAAATCAAGAAGTTGAACATGTGAACTAATTCAACCTTTTCGTTGCTTTTCCCCACTTACGTTCGGTTATCGCCCCGGAGGCATGGGTTCACACTGCTTGGAAGCATGGTTTCAGTTTCAATATCATACCAAATCGAGAGGAGAATTTGAGTCAAAACTACTGCGCAGCCACGACAGTGGGGCGAGCTGTTCTGGGTTGGGAGTGGCTTTAACCTGTGGCCAACGCTCATTGGCCTTTCCTGATCAACACTTCGATTCGGGATCGCATCAACATTTTGAATTTGTTGAGCCCTTTGGAAATTGTGGCCAGTGCCACCTGAGGCTGCCCAACAACAAATCGAGCGATCACACGGCGACAAACTTTACTCTGGTGCCTGAACAGGGCCAGCAACTTCCTCGTTTACATCAAGCGGTGCCACTAGATCAGTTGATCGTTGATCTGCTGCATCAACTCAACCGCTCAGCCATGAAGATTGACTACAGTATAATATATAGATAGATAGACAGATATATATATATATAGTATCTATATATATATATATAAGAATCTAAAATGTCTTACGCAGCTGCTCCGGAATCGCACGTCAGTCTTTGCATGTTCGGCCCTAGTTGGACGGTGCAGTCTGAAGAAATGTGAATGGCAAACTGCCCTGGCACAAGAGCAACACATCTCCGATTGCGGCAATCTGCAAAAGCCCTTGAAGTTAATCCAGTTTGCTCCGTCCAGCGTGCGCAGGGACAGCAATCAAAGCCAAAACAGGCAGCACAATGGATGAACATACAATTTATATATGCCATATCTCCATATCTAAACCCGTGGAATTTGGCGGCATGGCTTCTGCTTATAGCTGGAGGCACGGGCAGAGTCACGGCCTGCGACATTGCAGAGGGGGAAGCACAGAAATCAGTCATATGACTGACGTGACTTAGTTGAGTGCAAGAAAGGCAAGCATGTTGAGCTGCCTCACTTTTCGCCACCACCGTGTACTTTCCTGGCACTGGAAACTTTGCCTCAGTCAAAGTGGCCTTCGTAAAGGCCGTGGCACACTACAAAGGGCTTTGGCACCTGTGGGTATCTGCGTTGAAAATCCTTGACAGTGTAGCATACCTGGACCATTTGCGCTATTTGACGCATCTCAGAAGTACAAACCAAGACAAAGCATTGCGTGCACCTGGCCATATGGAAAATCGCTTTCCTCTTGCAAGACGGTGAGAAACTGGACGAAAGCATGACCTGAATGATTGTGAATGAGAATATCTCAGCGTGGCCAACGCCCACAGTCAGGAGACTCCAAAAGTATCTCTTGTCATCAGTGGCAACCGCCACAACGTGGTATTGCAACGCCTGCCAAGCTGTCTAAGACAATAAGCAAAACTCCCCTAACTTCTGGACCTCCTCAATGGTAGGGTCTCTCTCGAACAGCTTCTGGGCAGTTTCCACACTGAGCCAAGCGAAGTCCATTTTCTGGCCTTAGCACACAAGGTGATCACAAGGGCTGACTACCAAAAAACAAATTGACTGATGATTTCTACTTGCACGTGTTGCATTTACCATGCTGCTTCCCCAGTGTAACGCAATCCAACAACTACCTCATTGAGTAAACAAACGCCAATTCCCTTCCATCCAATCCTTTCTTTCATGTGTTTCATCATGTCTGGGAACCGTGCTTTCGGCTAAGAACCGAGCCTGTTGAAGAGAGTGCAATGATCTTCCAAGACTTAGTCTCTTCTTTCAGTAGCGCGTGCTGTCCGCGGAAGAGAAAACAACTATCTCCTGCAACCAGCCTCATTTACAAAGTTTCCCTTGTAGCACCAGGCCTCCCGTACACTCAACATACAGACTTTGGCCACCGGAGCGGCACGTGAGTGCAACTTTCAATCGCATGGAAGTACGGTACAGTACCAGTGCAAAGGTTTGGGGATTCGAGGATTTCTTGATCATGCTAGGAAACCAAAGCACCATGCCATAGGAACTGTCGAACCTTGATCTTGAATTTCACGCCGTAACGCTTGTTAAACAACAACAGTTTGGACCAAGCAGAAGTCATTAGAAATCCAACGCACCCAAAACCACGCCAAGCATTATTCCTTACACACAAACACACGAACACACGGACACACACACACACCAACAAACAAACAGATCAAATAGCACGTTTAATACCGGATGGAGCCGGGCCTTCTGGCTGTTTGGCACCCAAACTTTATACCTGGGCGGCGTCCTCTCTCGACTTTTAAGGCTTTGGTTTCTTGTCGACAATAAAGCCTATAGTAAGGCAACTTTTAAAATTTCATAAACTGTCATCCGGGGCTGCATGCAACTAGCTAAAGTGCTTGGTGTGAGCTTCACCTCCAAACCAAGCGAGGTGCCAAACATCGCCACCAACCCGTGGAGGACCTCAGTCGCCACCATACGTACCAGCCCAAACTTCACTGCACCAAGCCCCCCACACACACACTTATAGCATAAGAAAACAGGACAGTGGCCCAAGCCTTCTCAACACCTACACAGCCTCCAACTCCAAAGCGACAACGCATGACTGCCGAGTGCATAACCGATGCAAAGGCTGGATGTCTTGTTCTAGCTACAAAGGGGCCCAAAAGGAAATAAGTGGTGATCATCGTCTCGCAGGCACGTGCAATCTGCGTCCAGATTGCATATCACAGCAAGCTTGAAGTGTCTTCGTTGAGCGGTGACTTCAAGAATGCCCACCGCTCCCCTAGAGAAAAATCAAAACAGTCCAAAAGGAACCTCCTGACTCCAGAGGGGACACACACAGAGAACTGGCTCGAAAGACTTGAAACTCAAACAAGTCTGCAAACATCTGCAAACCACACGCACATTTTAGAGACGAATGTCGTGTAGCCATGTGATGATGAGTTGTAAAGGAATCGTCCAATAGATAAAGCCCTTGAAGCTAGCCTAAGCTTGAAGTCCCCAACAAAGAACCAGGCTTGCAAATCTGGAGTTCAGTTGATTTGATTAGACAGGATCACCAAGGTTTCGTGTCAAGACTTGTTGGTGCATCGGGAGGACAAGGGGCAGGGATGTAGAGATGTAGCTATATTTGCCTGGATTTGCACATCTTGGAGGAGGCCTGACTGTGGTTTTGCGGCTCACTTGCGCACAAGGGCGTCCTGCTACATTAGAATGGTCTATCTCCTCTAAATTTTGCCCTCCGGTGGCTCACAAAAAGGTCTGCTACATGGGAGTGGCTCCTGCTTCTTCTAAATTTTACATTCCGGTGGCTCACAAAAAGTCTGCTACCTTGGACTGGCCCTGCACCCTCTTAAATTTTACCCTCGGCTGGCTAACAAAAGGTCTGCTAGATTGAAGTGGCCCCTGCGTCTTCGAAAATTTACCGTCGGAAGGCTCACCAAAGGTCTGCTACATTGGAATCGCCTCTTCCTCCTGTAAATCTCAACCTCGTCTTTTGGCTGGCTCACAAAAGTATGCTACATTGGAGCGGCTCCTGCCTCTTCTAAATTTTGCCTTTGGTGGTTCACAAAAGGGTCCGCTGCCTTCGGCTGGCCTCTGCCTCTTCTAATTTCTATTTCTTTTGGTCTTTGGTTGGCTCACAAAACTAATTAAAGGTCTGCTACATTGGAATGGCATTTGCCTCACCTAAAATTTGCAATCGGCTGGCTCACAAAAGGTCGGCTACATTGGAATAGCCCCTTCCTCCTCTAAATTTTTAGCCGCAGCTGGCTCACAAAATGTCTGCTACATTGGGATAGCCCCTTCCTCCTCTAAATTTTCACCTCGGGTGGTTCACAAAAGGCATACTACGTTCAAACGGCTCCTTCCTTGCCTGAGCTGGTTCACAAAAAGTATGCTACATTGGAATGGGTCCTAACCTTTACTTCACAGCTTTGGTAGCTGGCCACAGCTTTGCAAGCTGGACACCTGCAGCAGCACAGTGCCCTTCCTTCCTTTCCTTTCTTTTGACTTTGACCCTGGAACGGATCCTAAAAACATGGAACATATTAGAACATACGAGTTCTGGCCTCACTCCATAGATTGTCACTCTTCAGGTTGACTGTGCACCCCAGAGCCATAGCATTCCCCCCTTTTTCATTCAAGAGTGTGATGCTTGTAACCCATCTGTTTTGCATATGCTGCTCGTGATATTGTTTAGCCCGATCCAAGCCTGCAGCATCCTTCAAATATCATATACAGCCCAATGATCATGCGAGTTCGAGTTCAGTTTCTTGATGCTTTGGTGTATCAAAGGAGCCCCACAGTACCGACATGGCAAAGTCCCCCCCCACACACCTTGTGTATTTTGCATGTGTATGTACGCGCGTGAATGCTTGCCAGCTGATCGCATATGAGCAACACCTTGCGAATATGCATGGCAGAAGATCAGGAAGGCACCTTTGTCGACAAAGGTTCTCTGCTTTTCTTCTATCTGCTTCTTTGTGACCTCAACAGTTGCAGTTCACGCGGCGAACATTTCTCAACAAAACCCAAAACAGCACCTACAGCTTGAACTTTAAATCAATCCCAAAAATAATCACTGCTCAATCTGTTCATGTCTGTTGGCCTGCCAGGTCGGCATCAAGTCTGCTCCTCAGACACAAGCGCAGCTGTCAAACTTGCCCCCTTTTCATATCTGTTTACTTGCTGCATGCCTTGGATGTCTTTAGTCCAAAGTCCGCACAAATGTCTGGACTTGGGCACAGCTAAGCGGTGCTCGGATCTTGTGCCCACGTAACCAGGTCAAGTGACCTCAATTTGATTGGACATGTGCAAAATTGATCAGTTGACAAAACTTCATGAGATTGCAGCAAAGAACCTGTTTCGCATGCCTTGTGACAGCTCGATTGCAATACCTTTCAGTTGGGACACTCCAGCCGACCGAGCCCCATTGTTCAAGTAGCCCAGCGGCGGCTGAGTTTGCTTGGCGCAGGAATTCCAATCGCATCACACAGAATTTGACTCGGCTCAAGACCAAACGCAGAATTTTTCAGCTGATGCCGACGCACTACTTCTTCCTGTAAGCTGGGTCTTGAACTGCTCTGCTGATCTTTGCCAAAGGTGCATTGATTTGTGAATGCCTGATGACCCTAGCACCAACCTGTTGAAACTTCTTGTGTGCGGCTTTCTTGTGCATATTGGCCTTAGAGCATTTTAAAGCCGAGCCGGCTCAATGTTTGTATGTTGGCGGGGGCTATATATGCCCATCGGGTTGCAAAACGCATCATCAAAAAAAATCAAAATACTGTATCTAGACCGCGGCTGCCGATGTACTGATACACAATGCAAATCAATTCAAGTCCCAAACGCAAAATGCAGGCAAGGCATCCCCGACAGCATGCATGATGTGGAGCTGATCCTCCATGTGATGCGAGCACCCTTGCTCGCGTACTGCTTTTTGAAGCCACAGGTTAATCACTAGGAGCCATTCATCAACCTAAACATCTAACACTAAACCATCAACAATGCTCCGTGTTGGAAACTCCTCAATGCAGTTTCCTTCTGTTTCAACCATCGCTTCAGCCACTTCCATTTCCGAATGCTACAATGCCTCCAAAGCAACTTGAGAACCCCTTTTGGTCGCCGGAGTCAGACTTGAGTTCAAAGGAACTTGTGCAATCCATTTTGTATCAGCCAGTTTTCTAAAACCAGGCCCCAAACAGACTTATGATGCAAGTGATGCCGGTAGGTTCATACTGCATCTTTTGCATCACCGAGTTCATAAACATCAGGAGCTTCTGTTAAAATGTTAGCTTCCCCACACCCTAATTTCTCACTTCTCAAACTCTGGCTTTCATAGTTTTGGAGTTTCTTTTCTTATTGTCAAAGGGACAAGGCATACCTTCAATTTGAAGGCTTTTTCGATGTTTGATACGAGTTGTTTAATACAGTTTGTTTTCCTTTGGCATCCCTTGGCGCTAGGTGCCTAGGCAACTCTTCGGTTTGAAAGGATTTTTGCCGGGGACCCTGGCTCGGCAGGAGTCTTTTTATTGGGGCGGCCGTGTTTATGATAAGAGGTGCAATGGATTATTCTGCGGAACCGTCTATGCAATTTTCGTGAACATGGGAACAGGGTGCTGTGGAAGCAAAGGCTCCAAACAACCCGCTCTGAAATCTGAACTGCCTCCACGGGAAGCTCCTTGGCCAAACGTTTAAAGACCTGACGCGATGGAAGTTTCACAGCTTTGGACCATTGGAACGCTGAGGAGCGCAAGAGTTCACTCACAAATGTCTACGCGTGTCACGTGTGTGAAAGAAGCAATCGTGCGCTGTGTGAGGGTTTGTGAACGGGCGAGGAGGTACAGCTTGTCCACTGATGAAGCGGGAGTCTTGTGCTACTGATTGTTGTGAGGTACCCCATTACTATTACATACTATTACAAGATATTACAAGGTGTCAATGGCTTATGATTCGGGGCTGGTGAAGTGATATGTCTTTGCGCGGCGACTCATTGCTAAGTACCAGTAGTGATGACTGATGAGTTCTTACTGGTGGTAAACCAAGTGCGCCTAAGTGAGGTAGCCTCCGTAGCAGAAACTGCTTGAGAGGATTCGCTGCTGGATGGTTGCGCCCTATAAGTATAAGTGTTCATAATGTTGAAACATTACAGGCCATGCAAGCATGTGTGATTCCAGGACTCTCGCACACTGGATTGAAGCTTGACCTTCTCGAACTGGTCGTCGCCATCCAGCTTCTCATAGAAGTGAAGATAGCTTTGCAGCGCGAGAGCCTGAACCAGTTCGCAAACTGCCACCCAGCAAAGCACCAGTTCACATTTCACTCCAAAATTGACAGCCGTATGCACTCATCATGTACTGCTCAAGGTCTCGCAAAATCACCAGGTTCGGAACAGCTCCACTTGCAATTATGCTAGTGGGATAGCCACCTGCCGTTGCTTCTGCAATTCTTTCTGCGTGAAGTTCCTTGTAAACATGTCTGTGCTGCCAGAAGCCTTTGAAAATGTGAGCAGGTCCTCAATGCAGCAAAATGCAACAAACGCAACACTGTCACAAATTGACGGTTGTTGTATGGCTGAAGCTCAGTCTAAGCCAAGGGCTGCTAACAAAGGACAAACTGTCATGTGTAGCTGCATGTCGTCAGGGTGCTCCTATGCACCAAAGACTGTGACGTCGACATAGTCGACTATGCACCAATTCACATTGTTGACTCCACCCCGCCTGAGCTGCTTCCAAGGCAGTCGTGGCAGCTTCCTCGATCACGATACTATCAATTCCTTCTTGTTTTCGTCCAGCTAGTCGCTGGCTCAACTCTTCGCAGGCCACGGCCTGCAAACAGTGAGCCTCTGCAACTGAACAAATGAAAACACATATTGCAAGGTTCTGGATTTGCTTTGCGTGAATGTACTGCAATTGCAACCTTGGGCACTCTCACCGAACTCATTTCAACAGAAAGTCAGTTTGGAACATGGCCTCACACTCTCCGTCCTTCCTATCCATCATTCCTCCACTATGCTTGTGCCATTTGTGCCTGTGTTTCTGGCTTCTTCATATTGCGGCGCAGGCCGGTAATAAAATCGGCCATTTCTGTCTCGCTCACTTCTGCCTGTGTGGAGGTCTTCGGGCGACCCGAGCGAGTGGCGGCAAAAGTGAGTGGCCTTCCCTTTCTTGCGCTTGTTTCTAGACTGCTCCTTAGATGTGCGCAGCATTCACAGCGCCAAATGATGTCAAACCTTGAGGCTAGGGCCAGCAGTTCCTCATCAGATGACTCCTTGCAAGCAAGCAACATTTTAAGTTGTAGGCATACTCAACACATTGACCCCTCGCCTCAGGCAGTTCACCCTTCTCGCCGCCAGCCAACCAAGTACTGCTCAAATTCTTGAATGGATCACCACCTGAATGCATCTTTCTCAGCAAAATGCCACAAATATCCACCAAAAACGTACGTACCCAATCTTCCCAACTACCAAAATGGTGGAGTCCGGATGAGCTGGGGGCTGGGCGACGGTACAACGCCTGCTGCAGAACCAAGCTGGCGTGCTCGACATGTGGCTGTAGAAGGACGGGCTCAGCCTAATGTTGCAAGTTCTGAAGATTTGCCACCACCACTGAGGCTTTTGGGCTCTAACTTCAACCTTTCCCAAATTGGCGTTTTCGATCCATCTGCGAGCCCAGCCCGGCTCTTCACGGAAGAACGCTTCGGCGAGCCCTAGGGCGGAAAATCTTGACAATTGAACATGTGTGAAACATCAGACTCAATTTGAGTGCCAAAATTGAACTATGTGAAACATGCTGAGACAGGCCAAGCAGGAAATCGGTTGGAAGAAGGGCCTTCGGCCGCGTTGAGTTCCGTATGGATCTTCGCTTATCCACGGTGTCGACCCGCGGTAGTCCAACAGAGCCACCTCAAACTAAAGGCGACCATGACAAAGCTGTGCCAGATCCCTGCCAGGAAGAAAAAAATGCTCTTGGCTTTAAACCTTCTGTGCGGAACCCAAGTGACCTTGGGACTGCTCAATACGGCTTTGCACACTTGTCACACTGATGAAGGGGCAACAAACAAGTTCTCCTATGGCTGACACATGGACGCACGACGCAGCGAGGAGAACATAGAGCCAGCTTTGCCTGGAAGCTCAAATAACATCTATACAACCTTCTATAAACACAATTGGACAAAATTGGTATGTAGCCTTGCCACTTGATGACAAACATAGATTTCACAAGTGCAGCATTCTTGTCCTTGGGCATTTGGGCTGTCTGACTCCTTTGGGCTGCTTAGTGGTGACCTCTAAGGCAAAGCAGCTTGTTGCTGACAGAACAGCCAAAAGAGCTCTGAAAGCCTTGCCGTATTGCAAGTGAGGCAGGGACAAAAGAGACTGAGAAGCACGGCGGAGTGAATCCATCAATCACTCTATCACCTGTCGCATCTCCAAATTGATTTCAAGCAGCTCTCATTTTTGTGTGACCTGTTTGAGGTCATGATTGGATGCTTTCAATTGCTTTTAGCCGTTTAGCACCTGCCTTTTCATCAGAAGTGCCATCCCGTGTGCCTCGGTGTGAAAAAGCCAGCACTTCAGCGGTATGGGCTTTAAGAAAAATACTTTAAGGAACGTAATAGCAGTGGCCTCCCCAAAAGAGCGATGGCCTCCAACTTGCTAGCGGCTAGCGATGGCCTCCAACCTACTAGCGGCTAGCGCATATATGCACACACACAGATATATATATATATATAAACAGGGGCCATACTACTCACTTGACTGCTCAGCCAACTGCCACGAAGGCAGTAAATATCTTCGTCTGACTCGGGCCAACATTGCTGCGCTGTCAGATGCTTGAACAGCTAGTTGCGTGTGGACATGCCTTGAGTGAAGGCAGGCGCAATGGCAATAAAGAGATTGAGCAACAGCATACTGCCGTGCTCCTTCTGCTGATTGAGTTCCTTGCATCATTGTTAATCCCGCGCAACGATGCACCGCGCTCCTTTGTTCCTCTGTGGTCATCCTCTGAGAAGGCTGCATCTCACGAATCTAGCGCCCGCTGCTCTGCGTGACCTCTGCCACAAGTTTTTCCACCAAGCCGGCTGAATCGCAACGAGCGGAGTCCAAAAGCTCCCATGCTGCCAAGTCCAGCTTGAGTGACCTGCAAATAACCAGCCCAGCTGGGCCAGGGATACTTTCTTTTCTGTGGTGCTGGTTGTGAGTGTTCAGTCTTCCACTTGACTACCGCTTACCACAAATACGATGCCGCCCAACCCTGCCATATTGGAACGACATGCTGCCGTGCTCTCCAAACACGTCCCGCGTCAAGACTCAAAACAAGAACATGTTTAAACACATGCAGTGTAATTTGCACCAAAACTATGTGGAAACACTGAGGCTGCAACTGCTCGTAGAGGAAAGTGATACTGTCTGGTGTAATTTCCAGCCCATATCCAACCAAGCACAGCACAGAGTTGCGAACTCTTGAGATTCGCTCTCTCCTGAGTCTACCAGGATATTTTAACAATCGTCCCACTTGGCCTTTTCAAACAAGCAGTGTGGCAAAGGCTGTGAGTGCTGATTGTAGCATATGATTGCCATTGATTACTGCCAGTAGCCATCCTTTTCGTTAATATGTTTTGCCTAACCCTCTCTGTCTCTCCCTCTCTCTCTCTCTCTCGCGAGTGGTTCCTCCACCCCTCCTTTTTCTCTATACGTATGATTGATTGTAGCCCGCTGCAATGCTGTGCTTGGACTGCTATGGCTACTGCCCCAACAAGCTATGGCTGGAGGGATCGGGCGTGGAGACGGTGAGGGGTACTGCTGCCGTTCGCTACAGGTGGGTGGGGTTCTTCATTCGCCGAGGGCTTGGCTCAAAGTATGTTTGGCAAAGCATGCGCAAACACCTTGTGTTCATCTGCTTTCGAAGGACAAGCCAATCCGAGGGGTATCAACTATATGTGCTAGAAATGCACTCCCAAATCCACCGCGCACACGTCCGTGGTCCATGCTGTTTGATTGAACCACGCTTACACATGATGTTTTACAGCATTACTTATATATATAAGTCTACATACTTTTTCGCACCACAGTGCCCACAGTGACAGGGTTTCAGGTGCTCGCTATGTGCTTCGTTACAGCTGTGCTCCATGCAAGTGCTCAGGAACAACGCCTGAGGCATCTTGAGGCCTCATGCCCAAAAAGCATCAAAGTGAACTTGCAACATTGTTACCTATAGCATCTTATAGCTGTGTCTAATTAGTGTTGACAACTCATTTGTTCTAACTTTGTTCTGAGTGGGTGTCTCTATCGAGGCCAAGCATCATGTCCGGGTTTACTTTCTGATATCGCACGTCCATCTGAGAAAAGTTGATGGTCTCTTGCCGGCCGGAGCCCGCAACTTTGGGCGGTGCGCAAACCCACACCCAACCATTGTTGCCCAGTACCACCATCACGCCAACTCGTGGCAAATTGACTAGGTGCTGGGCCTGCCGTCTGACAAACACTGATGGAACGCAAGCAAGTACTCCGTTTTGTAACTTTCCATAGCGTGAGTTCCGCGTCTGCAATGCCAGCTCGCCAGACTCTTGAACTTTCTGCACCTCTGCGGAGATGAGATCATTCTCATCAAAAAACTCTCGGATTCTGAGTGTGTCTTCATCAGTCCTACGTCGCTGAACATTTCCAGGTAAGTGGATCGCCCCCAAATGTAGGTAGGCAAGCTGGGCTGTGCCAATCTCGACCGCCCAGCGGTCTGTTTGCACTTCAACAATCCTGCCCACAACCACATCACCAACACTGCCAGCATAGCGATGTTTCAAGGGTCTCACATAAAGCAGCTTGTTTACATGCTCAACGACGCCGCATGTTGTAGCGACCAGCTTGCCATCCGCTCGTTCGACCACCCCACGGCCCCGCAAAGCCCCTGGCTCTGCAGAGACCACATCGCCAGGGCAAACCAATTGCGCTTGCAATCCCGGAATGCTTTGCACAGACAGCTTTGGATTGTCGATTGCCAGGGAACCTTCCTTCTCTCCTTGTGCTCCCCTACCACGACGCTCCAATGCAACAGCCCCAGCAAGCTGAGTGATTGCAGAAGTGGCCCATGCCATTGCAAGCGGCTGTGTATGTGGGTGTGTGTGTGTGTGCGTGTGTGTTGCGGCATGTCGTGGCTATGCTCAATGTAAGGCCTACTTCACAATCTGATCGGCACGTGCTTGTCAGGATGATCCAACACCGGGCACAATTCAACTTCCTTTTGATTCTTCGACCACTTCAGGTCGTGAAAGAACAGGGCCCTAACACAAACGGGTGGATCATGCTGACATGCCATGAAGCTTGCGATCCCCAACCAAAAATCTCCTCCACACACAATGTCTCGCACCCATGAGCACATGAAGGCGGAAGTCAGCAGATTGAGCATGAGCGATTCATGCAAATGGGCCAATTCACAAGCAAATGTGCAGAACTGGGTGGAAGATTTGTTTCGATGATCTGGCAAACATGGTGATACGAGATGTGATATTTGTGATGAAACGACTGGCAGCTTCGACTCGACGAGCTGTTTTGTATTGTTTTGTGCTCCGCACTTTCCAAAAATGAGAGAACCCGTGCGGCTTTGCCGGCACGGCTAGTCGTTAACGTGTAGACCAACTGGTAACCACTTTGGTTTGTGGTACTTGAGGGTTCAGGTACAACTTCCATTGTGGGCTGAACATGGCACAAGAAAAATGCTCAAAGGTAAAGGTGCCCCTCCTTTCTAATTGGCAATAAGTTTTCTGAGACATCTGGCACTCTCAAAATTCAAATTTTCAACTGTTTGGGCAACGCATGTTGGACAAACTATACTTTCAAGACCTAAGCTCGACCTACTGACCTGTCTCTGCTGACGTGTGCTCAATGCCCAGTGCAGCTTGTGCATCAGACACCGGTGGCATCACGAGTCGCACAGGCCTGGTGGTTCCAAGCAGCCTCTTATCGAACATCTATATACATAGCCAGCACAAGACCACGAACCAAGGTCCTTGCTTGTCAGTCTTGTCTGTATGAGGTTCCGGCCCTGATTGGCTCGTGCGAGCACTTGTATTTGGCTTTGGCTGCGTTCGAGCACCTTGTTTGCAAGCAGGTGCACCAAAATGTCTTCCCAGCATCTCGCACCCACGACTTTGGCAACAGGGGTGCTGTCAGGCTCTTGATCCCCAATGAAGCCTTGAACAGGACACTTTGGGCTATATGTAGATACATATGTTGTATTATACTACTGTTACTACAGTAGTCTAAAGCATGCTCGTGCACCGATGTTGTTGTGCAGCGCTCCGCAGCTCATGTTTCTGTTCCTAGCAATTGGCCACCGTGATGGTTGAGGGGCCTTCCATCATGCCCACACAAGAAGAAACATGAAAGGCTCAGTGCCAAACATGCAATTGCCCCCACGACTCTGCTCCAAAAAGTCTCGGATTCATCCGACCTGGATTTTGACGTCTTACACCGCTGGATTTACAAGAACTGCAACTGTGAACTACCAAGGATTCCAATCTGATCCACGCCTATCCGCTTGCCCAGGTCTGACCTGGAGGGTAATCTGCCAAAAAGTCTGAGTATCTCTCAGAGTCTCTCTTCACCAGAATGAGTCGGCTTAGTGAGTCTCTGGCTTCTTGAAATGCTTTGACCTCCTGTCGCAGCTTGGCATTCTCCATCAAGACCTCAAAATGAGCAGCCTGCGCTGCGTGCTACCGTGTTCTGATGCTGCAAATGCAACTATGGGGCAACAATACCAGGCTCAATATTTACGTCTTGGACCGTTGGACAAAGGAATAATTAGGATTGTTGGTACAAATGATGGCAATGCGCCACCAGCTGGGTGCCCCACTGCCTGCACCTGCTCCTGCTTGCGCATTTAGATTTGTTCCATGGTTTTGATCCGTTGCTTGAGACTCAACGCCCTACCTTGCCCGCAGCCTCCAAGTTGAACCAAACATAGTGTCATCTTATCATCTTCATTATGTTATTTCAGGAGCTCTCAGCCAAACAATTTCCTGTGCGATGCCCTGCTGCTGCTTCGCTGCTGCTGCTTCTGCCTGCCATGCACCCGTGGTTGTCCAGGCACAGCTAAGAAAGCCAACAGCTACGTACCCAAACCGCTGCCACACTACGGCTTCAAGTCAAGGGCCTTGGCAGCCTCCAGGTTTCCTTCAAGCTTCTGTATCTGTTCTGCGGCTGCCTGTGCAAGCAAGGCATCGGCGTTTGGGTCCATGCCACAACATTGGGCACGCTAAATCTAGATTGGCGGCGATCATTCGGGGACGGGCTGAGGTCGTAGTGTTGCCAGTGAAGGCCACAAGGCTAAATCCATAATTCATGATATTCATGATGGGTATGAAGTAGTAAATAAAGAAAGCAACACTTCTGCTGTCCGAGCAATGCTTCACCTGCACCAACAAAAAATGGCAGGAAGATGTGACTCAACAGTGCTGACATCCGCATGGGATGCTGGGGCGCAAAGGACTTCTCTGACTCTTTCTGTATGCTTCTTTCCTATAGGCTGCCACATGAACCCCCAGGCCAAAACAGCCAACCCACACCCAAGCCATCTTGGACCTGGAGAGCGGCTGATGCACATCATTACATGTAATATATATTCGATTGTATAGACAAAAATGCCCCAGCATTCAACACGGACCTACCATAAGGTCTACATCTAGCGAGGCGCAGCTTTTGTAGTGTCAGCAACGGCATGCACTTTCTTGGAAGACAGTTTGGGTTTGGATATTCGCCCCATGACCATTCGCACAGTGGGAATGCTTGGATCTGCGGTATGGATGCGTGTTTGATTCTGGTAGAAGTGTTATGACCCCTATGAAGATCGAGGCCGTAGGTCTGACAAACGGGAACACTGGCGGTGAATTAATGCATATGATGTGATGTGGGTTGCACACGTTTCTCTAAGTTACGCATGCTGAGAGGTGTTGTTAGCTCAAATCGAGCTCCGAGCAGGTGATGCTTGATGCCGTTGTTGCCAACAATGCAATAGCTTGCAGTCAACATCGGGCAATATACGGTAATATAGTTTGAATCTTTAGCTGTTGCTAGATCAGCTGCCTGCAACTGCTCTTTCTGCTGGATTGCTGCAGCTGCCCCCGCCTGCCACACACCCGACGCCGAAACGCAACCCAGCAAACTAGAACTGCATTGTCGTTTCATCTCAACGTTCCCAGGACCTTGGCAACTGCCAGGCTTCCTTCAAGCTTCTGGACTTCTTTCGTTGCGGCAACCTGTCAACAAAGCTTGCAAAATACAGGTTGATGATGTGCCCGGTCCGTGATATGAACAAGACTTGAACAAAAGAGATCCACCAAGCAACCCTGGCACACTACAAAGTTGACATGACTACCAAAATTGCAAGCCTTGTCAACTTCGACTGCGTTGACTCTTCCTTGAAGTGCCGTGATCTCCCCTTGCAGTTGAGCATTTTCGCTTGAAACCTGAGGGCTCATGATGCTGCTATTGCTGGAGGTGCAGTTCTTTGCGCGAGTGCAGCGGGCATGACGATGATTGGGGGCCCTGCTGCATGCATCTGCTCCTGTTCTGCCGAGTGGATCGACAAAAAGAATAGGTGAAGGTTTGGTGAAGATTCAAACTTGAAACAAACCATCGATTCACGCATATTCACGCCATGTTGAGTTGCAAAACACAGTCCTTCACACTGTTTTGCTGCTGCAATGCTGCAGCTGCTTCGGCCTACCGATGGGTGCCCACTCACAGCTCACCAAATCAAGTGTTTCCGATTTTTAATTTTCAAGCGGCTCCTCCGGTTTCATATCAAACGATTTACGGCGTGCCTTTACAGCCTGCAGGTTTGCTTCAAGCTGCTGTACCTGTGCTTTGGCGGCCTGGCAACATGCAAGACTTCACTCCTACACCCATTCCCGCCCATTCCACCAAATCGGGGCTTTGCGAGCAATTCCATGCTTATATAAGCATTGTGCATGCGGACGAAGCATGCTGAGCCCCAAAATCCTCATTATAGCAATCGCGACCACAAGAAACACCAAACTTGAAACAAAGAACCACATATATATATATATATAGTGGACTAGTCATCACCGAACTGCACCACACTTGGACACAACACAAGACCATCTGAATTCAGAGAAACACACATTGCTCAAACTTGTCAATATCTGTGGTCGCGTGACCTTGTTTCGGGAGCAAAGGGCAAAGGCATCTCCATATGTATCCATATGTCATGACAATTCCTCTTGGCAATGCATCTTGCCCCAACAGCTTGCACACAGAACTTTTACTTGGGCAACCTGATATATCGAAATTTACATTCGTTTGGACACGGCCACCTTGACATGGGAACCGAGTGCTAAATGCCAACCAAGATTTGATGCACTATGTAACTGCGTGCGCAAAACTACCGCACTCCCGACGACTCAAATTGGCACCACCACCAAGTTTGCAAGCCTTGGCAACTTCCAGTGCTTCGAGTCTTTCTTGGAGTTGTTCAAGTTGCTCGCTTTCATTTGCCTCTTCAGACTGTCTGAGCAAAGCCACACGTCTGCATGTCTGGACACTATGTCGGGGGCTGGTCTGATTGATCCTGCCTGGCTAGTTTCCTGAAGTGCTACGATCTCCTGTCGGAGCTTGGCATTTTCACTTGAGACCTGAGCATCGGTGGTCATGAGCGGATTGAAACTGCATGGGCTCATGTTGGCAAAGGCGCAGTGAACGCAATGATTTCCGCATATTTTCCGCATTGAAATATACTGAGAACAGGCAGCTGGGCACTCTGCTGCGTGTATTTGCTCCTGTTCTGCGGCCCAAATCACAGTGCGAACGAAACATAACGAAACAACATGCATCAAAGAGAAAAGCTCTGAAAACATTTGTCGCGCCCATGTGCCTCGTGAACCCGTTTGCGTGAGCTATTATCGTGGGAACAATGTTACTGGAATTGAGACCCACTGCGCTACTGGCCCCAATGCACGGCATTGTGATCTGCTTCACTTGTTACTAGTAGTAACAAGTGCCTTACTAGTAGTAACAAGAAGCTTGTAATTTGAATTTATTTTAGATCTAATTCTAATAGCTTTTTGTTACTACTAGTAAGGCACTTGTTACTACTAGCGAGGCACTTGTTACTACCTCAATGCACGGCATCGTGATCTGCTTCGAAATATCACTTTCCTGCGCAGTACGCTGTAATGTTGTGGCTGCTTCCGCCTGCCACAGCCACTTCTATTGACACACTCAGTACCCACTTCTATTGCAATTCAATTGGGTTAGCTGAACTGGTTGCAAGCCTTGGCAGCATCAAGGTCCCTTTCGAGCTGCTCTATCTGTTCTGTGGCGGCAGCCTGTCAGCCCAGGCTTGACAAGGGGTCCATGTCAGTAGATTGAAATGATTGTGATGTGCATGATGGGATTTGTGCACATGTGCAAACCCCCCAAAATGTGTAATCAATGCTTTCCGAACTTGCGACAGGATGGAAAAGGCAGGTGTCTTTGCCAGAATCTAGGCTGTCAATGAACATGCGCAAAAGGCCAAGTTAACAGCACGGGTCGCTTTCCACACAACCTTTCCACTAGCGGAGAAAGGTTGCATCGTCAATAACGTGCAAGAAGTCGGGATGGGCATCGAGTTGCCAAGCCAGGCAACCCGCCGACCTCCCTGACTCCCTACAAAACTGGTGATAGAAGCACAAAGCCTTGGCAACTTCCAGCTCTTCCAGTCTTTGAAGTTGCTTGATTTCATTTGCAGTGTCAGCCTGAGAAGAGTTGCACACTCCTCACCCGCAAGTTGCCACTCCGACAAATCCTGCCTTGGTGGTTTCCTGAAGTACTCTGATCTGCTGTCGCAGTTTGGCATTTTCACTTGAGACCTGAGCACCATTGGGCATTTGAACTGCATGAGGTCATGTGATCATGCTGCCAGGTTCTGAGTAAAGCATCCAAGTCAGCTAGGTACCCTGCTGCCTGTACTTGCTCCTGTTCAGCACAGAGCATGTGTAATGGACAGTCTCAAGTTGGACGATGCTTTAAACTTTAGGGCCATGTACCGCAACATAGATCCCATCTTGCATGAGCAAGCCCAAGCTTTCCTGTGTGGCATTCTGCTGCATTGCTGCTGCTGCCTCTGCCTGGCACGGGTGCCACCAGTTGCCCAGGCACAGCCAAGTAAGCCAACAGCCACCCAAACAACACTGCTGCCCAGATTTCCAGCAACAGAATTATATGAATTTTACTGAATTAGCCTTCCAGCATAAAAAATAAAGGATAACTGATAACATATTGTCGAATAACTATTATTTGATTGCACAATCATGCCGTTCTGTAGACTGTCAGCTCTGGTGCTCTCTCTCAGCAAGCCGGTTGCAAGACACAAGCAAACTTCTACAATTTGTTAATCGACGCCTGCGCAGCAATTGCTTTCGAAACGGCCCGGCAAAGCAACTTGTTGCATCATCAAGTTGGAGAAAGTGATGCATTGCTTGATTGTCGGCAATGCAATTGATGGCAAAAGTACATAGACCAAGGTTGAATATGCCAACAGGTGTGAGTTGGTGCTTTGTCACTTTTACAATTTTTTTCTCTGGGGCATCTTCTTTAAAAACCTTCGAGCTCCTTTTCCACTGGCATTTGCAGCACTTTTGATTGGGCATTCAATTGTCAACTTCCTCTTCTACTAACAGTTGCAGCGTTTTGGGTGCTCCGTGCTTGCACTCAAAACATTCCTCCGGTCCTTCCTTTAAAACAGACTGATACTCATCAAGGCTCTCTGGTCAAAGTCTTTGGAATTCTCAGGTTCCTCCTTCCACAGTCGTCTTGCAGTCTCATGTTGTCTACAATGTGTCGCCACATTCCGCACGATGACTCGCTTCCCAACTTGGTGCTTCATGGCCGCTCGATGCTCTCCGAGCTTTTCTCCCCCTGTCACTTCTTTGATGATATCATTATCATTGGCTGATCTACATGTCCTGACTTGTGATATTGCCTTGATTGCCTCATGGGTTACTTAAATCATCTTAAATCTACCTCCTGGCAAAATTAAGTCGTGTACTGAACACCCTCAGCTAAAGAATGGACATCTTGTCAGGGTCAGGCCTTGGGTGCGATCGACGGTAATGCACCATCAGCGCCTCATCAGCGCACCATGTGAGATATGTGATCTCTGCTCTCCAATCCTTTGCGCAAGTAGCCTGTGTGGTCTGATTCACCGAATTCTTCGCTCCTTGGACAACATGGGACATTCCGGTACCAGCGCAACGTGAGACTCTCTGACATTTGAGGCCATTGCTCATCCTCTTCGTCGTGCTCTTCAATGCCATCAAACCTCAATTCAACACAAAACAGCTCGCAAAGAAGGTGATATCCGCACACCGCCGGACAATCTCTTGACTGGATCCTGGCTCATCAGCCAAAGATGCGGTAGCTGCCGCATTTCCTTGTGGGCAACGAGCAAAACGATGACAGCATATCACGTGGTAACATGCCAAGGCGTGAATTTCTTACAAGAATTCAAGGTCATCCAAGGAGCACAGCAATTTGCCCTGAGCTTGAGGCGTAGAGCCTCTTCACAGGCTGTGGGCATCCAAGCTCTGCGGGAACTGCGTGCCTCGTGACCGTTAGCAAAGTATTTCGCGCAAATGATGTGCATGATGTTAGGTGATGCTACTCTAACTCTCAGTATTTTTTCCTATGCATTCATCTTTGTTGACACCTTCGTCATTATGAAATTGAGCTTCTTCACCTGGTTTCTCAAAGCTTGCTCCTCCTCAAGCTGGAAGGCCAGCTCCTGCCTCGGGGATCGCCACTATAAGGAATCTGCATAGCTATGTTCGGCTGGTCGAGATCGAGAGCTCCCTTTTAACTCGGCTCAGAGCCATGCTGAACCTATGCTGAACCTACTTCAAATTTCCAAGAGCTGGGCTCTTTTGCTCCAGCCAGGTGCAGCTCCTTCTCCTGGCGCCGTGCCACTCTGCGCTGGGAATTGCATATTCATTGGACAATGAACCACTCTGCTCGGAGGATGAGCCGCTGGCCATCTTCTCGTTCTCTTCCATGAGTTCCTCCCAGCGCTTTTGAAGATCCTGAGCAAGAAAGCTGGCGGGTGGTGAGGCCGTTGACAACTGAGGATTTCCATGCCATAAACCGAGTGGAACTGCATTAAGGCAAGGCTGATCAAGTCAGCTGTGCCACAAGCCTTCAGTTTTGCCTCGGTCTCTGCACTTTCGGCTTTGGCTTCCTGGTCAGAAAACTTCACACACTTGTTTGAAAAAAGGGCCATCAATGATGAATCTCTAAGCTGCTGCAATTAGAATGACCATTTGTCAGCCCGCACCTCTTCAGCTTCTATGTGTCCCTGTGCCTCTTGCTTCTTCGTGTCCAGCTCAGCCTTAGTCAACCAGTTATATAGACTTACGACCTCCCAGGCGGTGAAGATCCCAGCACCTTTCAGCACCACTTCCCTTCCCCTCTGAGCTCTGAACTTCTAAGGCCTTTAGTCTTTTGGAGTACTCACTCCGAGTTGCTTCGAGCTCTTGCTTCAGTTGGCGGATCTGGACCTGCATGTGAGTCTGGTGCTGATCTATGTCCATGCAGTCAAAAGCATTTGTGCTCATTGGCCGAATGCCTCATTTTCGGTTTCTACGGAGTCTTCCTCTGCCTCCTCGCCCTAGGTGTAGCAGAATAGCACCCAAACCAAGCACTTCATTGCACCAACTTCCACAAAGTGTTTTCTGCTTCATGACAGGGTGGCGACTTGGGAATTGAGGACATGACATGTGTGAATTTGCAAGATTTCCTCGAGCGCCTCTTTGGTCTTATCGTTCCTGCGAAACACACGAGCCAAACCACACAACAACTTGCGCCAAACCGCACAGGGTCTGTACATCGAAAGCGTTTGTGTTTCATCGTTGCAAAAGTGACTGTATGCATCGGGTGTATTGCAAAGTGACCGTAGTTTCATCCTTTTTCCTTGTGTTTGTTGCTTGTTGTGTTTTCAGTCAACACACAAGACATAGAAACGTCATGAAACGTCTAAGCCATGTGTGGTTCCCGGGCGCTTTGGGACCCGCAAGTGTGCACAAATCCGGCAAACACAACTCTGCTTGATTCAGTGATTCAGTGATTCCGCTACATCCTCATAGTTTCAACATAGTCATGCGCACAGTCCAGCTATGCTACTTCACTGGACACTTTGAGTTGCTCTTTGTGTGACATTATGCACCTTTTGTAGAGTCTTGCGATAGACAAAAGAGGTCGACGGGTACATGCTGCGTGGTTGTTCCTGGCGTGCTGTCTCGTTAGAGTATCATATGCCATATTTCTTACATTCAGAACGTGGGCACATCATTTGGTAATCTCCCACCGAAGCCGGTGAGCTGAAGTTGCAAAACAATGAAACGGTGGTTGATGTGACCATGTGACGTGTCATGACTTGGGATGGGGTAATGTAGATCATGTGGGCGTGGTGAGGCTTTACGTGAGTAAAATGGTGAAGAATTGAAGCGCACGGTGGTGAGGTATAATGTGTCAATCATTGCCAATCTACACTATCTATGTAGAAACCTAGAAATCCCGACCATAACCCTCCTTCACTTCTCTCTCATGATCTCTCTAAACATCTCTACCTTTCTAGAGTATACAGTATTTTTCGTCAGGAACCCCCACTCTTCGCCAGCATAATCGAACAGTAGGAGGCTGCTTCTCCACTGCTCAAAGGATTTAAGCTGGCACTGGCTCATCAAATACGCCGTGGAGAAGTAGCCTTTGTCAGCTTTTCCCTGTGGTGCTATTCAGTCCTTCTTCCTCATCGGATTCATCCGAGTCCTCAAAAAAGCAACTTGAGATCTTGGGGTTTCCATGCTGTTGCCGGGCCACAGTATGCTTGCCCCTCATAGCCCCTGTTTCTCCTCGTTGAGTTGCTGCTGTAAACGCTGCACCTCCTCTTCCAACCTCACTGAGACACAGGAGCACACAAAGCAATTCTTGCCTTCTGCAGCTCTGCCAAGGATCACAAAGGCCCCTGTAGGAATGCTTCAGTCCGCGACGACTGGTTGTGCTGCATCAAATCCTCCACCTCATACTGGATCCACTGTGCATCACCGTGCAACATTCGTACGGGTTCACCATGTGTTTCACGCCAATCGCGCAAACGGCATATGATTGGCGTGCATTTTTTTCATGCACATGAGTCTCTTTTCGGGTTAGTTGTTTCTTGGTGGGGGGTTTAAAGGGCCTGAAGGCATCACACCGGGATGACAAAGGATCACAAAAAGGCAAATGCCAAGCTCGTGGCTACCATCGTCTTCCCTGCGCGCCCCCGGCGCGGTGCAGCCTTGCGTGGCCGCTTGTCCTGGCAAACCGGGGCAATTAGCGTTGATCTGAGGAATCTTGGGAATCTGGAGGCCATCGCTATTAGGTCGCAGCCCATCGCTAGTAGGTTCATCTTTGAATCTCCTCATCCTCACTTTCTGGCGTTCCGGGAAAGGCAAGTCCTTGGCTTGCCGAGACCGCCCTTTGTCACGCTGTGACGAAGGCGCAGCCGGCGCAGCTCAGGCTACTGCTGTCTGGTCCGAACGCAACTGTACTGGCACGACCTAAGCACAAGGGACTCTAAGAACAGGAAACAGTTCTTACATATTTTCACATGCCAGTGACATCCCATGACTCTTTCGCTCTGGGGCCCTGTCGACTTTGCGACCTTGGAACGTGCCAAACTATGACAGACCGACAAGACACCCTCTAGGAACTTGGAGCACCAGGTGTTGACAGCTCATAGCCTAAGACGCTGACGTTCGGCGGGAGGTCAGCACCTCCAAAAAATCTTAGAGTGGATCAATTGTTCAGCGAAAGCTCTTCACACACACACACACACTCACATGTTCACAGAACTGTGCTGTCGGCAAGAACTGGACACTTACGGGCATACTCTCAAGTACAATCTTTGGTCTCTGCTGTCTTTGACAAAGGTGTGTTGCAGAAAGGGCCAGTTGTTGCGATCAGCCAGTGGAGTTTGCTTTTGGCCCATGAAAAGCCTGGTGCCTCAACCTGCCCAGCAGTTTGATGGTGGCACCCGTACCTGACTTTTCGAAGCTTCCAGGCTCTGGACCTTGGCACGTGAGAAGTGCTCAAAGCTAACTGGGTCTGATTCAACTTTTCAGGTCCGGATCTAGAAACATTGACATTGATTCACTGATTCCCTTTGTCATGACTTGGGAAAAGTGCCTTTTCCCGATACTCTTGAAGTGCTTGCTCTTGCTCCTGCATCGGATTGATCGGTTCTTCGCACTTCCCATCCATGGCATGGTCCATGTTGTCTATGAGAAACAATTGTGCTGAAGGAACAACACTAACTGCAAAAAACCCTTGAGCCCCATTGTGATTCAAGTTCAGAGCGCCAATATTATGCGCAAATATAAGTATATAGATGCAATATATGCCAGAGTTTGCCTCGCGAAACCTGAGCATGGTTCACACATCACGAGCACAAACCACGACAAACCACATGCTCAGGCGTGCATGGTCATGGGTGTTCTTCGTAGAGCATGCCACATCCTTGAACATGAGCATCCTAGTCTGACCCCATTCCTGCCATCCCAACTAAACCACTGACGGCCACCGCCTACCAATGCGAAAACTGAGGCTCACTTGAGCCAGCACATTTTTTGCCGAAGGCAGCATATGACAAACACTCGGACCATCTGCGAAGGCAAGGGGTTCCAAAGCCGTGACGGCGAACCATTTGCCAAGGAACCATTGTTGGTGGTTTCCCGAAGCATCCCCGTGCAATTCTGGGTTGTCGTTCTGTAATCGTTTGAGTTGTCGTTTTAGGGCCTAGAAGCATAGCACGTCACAAACAACTACAATTCTTTTGGGAGCCCTTTATCATCGTCAGGATTTGGCGCACTTCCACAAAATCAGTGAGACATCCAAAAGGAGCTGCCTTTACAATATTCTTGAGCGTACATACCTCACACACATATATATATAGTATATCTATCTATATTTTTTATACACATGCATACACATAACATAACACAACATAACCTACATACATACACGTCACCATGTAGAAGCATCGCGGCATATATCGAGCCATGATGGCATAAAACATAATAAGACATCAAAGTCCACAGTCAAGAACAGCATACCACAACACACACCTTGTGTTTTGCTGAGTTTGCAAATTCTGCCCAAGGCCATGCAGTACTGTTTCTCAATCTCTTCCGATCCGTTCGTTCGTACAATTCTATGACAAGCCGATATCCACTTGCTTATTATGCTGCTGCTGAACCCTGTCCTTGACCTGTGCCAAGAGTTCTTGGCCTCTGGGAGAAACACTGCGCGTTTACAACCGCCATTCACTTACATAATCTTACATATGTAAAAGGACAAGTCAAACGCTCGAGGCCCTTGCCATACTCTGCCGCTTGTTGCAGCGCTGCCTCCAGTTCCTTGAGAAATTCTGCATCACCAAAGCGCCCAGCTCCAAACTCGGTTGAGGTGATTCTAGAACATTAGAGAAGACATGAGAAGACCATGAAGGTGGGGCAAGGAGTGTGGCAAAGCTGACTGCAATTGGCGAAGGTGCCGCCTGAAAGCAATAAGGATTCATACGGGCGAATTGAATCATGCAAAGGATATAGACTATAGACTGTCTAGAGTCTGGGCTGAGAGTGTTGGATGGTGCAGTGCGCAGTGCACGTTGCATGTCCGGTTCCATTCACGGCACTCAACGGTGCCTTAGCTTTGCCTCTACACCCGCACGACTCACCACGGAATGAACACCAGCACCAGCACCACAAAGATCAGAAACACACAGTGGACTTGAACTTGATGTTGATGATGCTTTTGGCAAACTGACTGACCAATGCCATGATTTGGGATATATATTGTATATATATATATATATGTAGTATTCAAAAATCTAAAACATAGACAACGGGCGGATGAACTGTGCAGCAAAAAGTCAAGGGCACATCTGACGACGATGAACATGAGTGAAGAAGAACGACCTGTGATCTGGCGACATCTGGTGTTGGAGAAAATCCGGAAATCATGTCTCATGCACAAGGTGGGGCCCTGTGCTTCGTTGTCTGTCTGAGATGAAGGGGGTTGAGACGAGACATGCGGCAGTGCAACGGCAATCAAAGGCGATGAGGTGCGATGATCTTGCTTGTTTGCTTCCATCGCATTGAAGGTAAGTTACTTTTGGATTGGCTGATGTGACACATGAAGAAGTTTCCTAAGATGTGCAGCCGCAAGAACTCAGATTGTGCCAGCCTGTCGCATGGATTGTTCGTGCTGCAGCTCCTTGCAATGCCCGTGCGGAGTGAGCTTTGGACAAAGAAATCAAACATGATCACAACACTCCAAAGCCAACGAAATCAGCACCGCTCTGCTCTGCAGTTTAGCCCTGGTATTGCCAATCTCACTTCCTGCCTTCCAAACATCTTCAGATGCCATGGGACAAATCGCAGGCTGTTGCTTAGTGGCTTAGTGGCCAAATCAAATGGTAGAAATAATTCTTGGAATCTCTCGGGTCCAGGCTTTTTGTGCTTGCCACTACCGGGTGTCAAGCGCAACACATGTGTTGCGCTGAGCAAACGTAACACACGTAACACACCATAAGAAACCTAGAATCTTGAAGAGCGAAGAAGGTTTCATGACACTTATTCTTGTTCATACTTGACAAATGTGCCTTTGACTTCAGTGCGAGCAGAACCGTGCCACACCACGGGAAGGCAATGGACACAGCAAACTATATAACAAGACACACTGCACATGTGTGACATTGACACGACCCTCTTTTTGCTGCACATGTCATGTACCATCGTTGCCAGACCTCACTGGACACAGGAAAGAACGAGCAAAACTAAACAACAAACTTGGCATATTGTGTATCATGATAAACATCTATTTTCATCAAATGGCCAGCTTGGGTGAGCTGTCACGAACTGCGGCGGTCTTCCAAATTCTGCCTCAAAACCATGCTCACAGCTGTACCGTAGTTGTGAGCTGCAGAAGCCATGCTTTCGCATGTTTTCGTCGGGTGACAAACACGGTAAGCACCGTGTTGTACAGCTCCTATGGAATGCAAAAAAATGGCCACCTGCCTGACACCACTCTATTGACTCCACGCGCAATGGACAGGGTGAAACATCGAAAGCCACAGCTGGACGGGACCTGAACATTTTGGGCTTAAAGTCCGTAGCTTAGCACTTCTAGCTGAACTACGCCATCTGCAGCATTCAGGAGGTCCATCAAATCTGATGGTGAACCCATCGCTCCATTCACACTCAGAATGCGATCATGACAAGAAACAGCCAACTCTGGCATCTTTTTGTTCCATTCCGCAACCAGCCCATCTTTGATGTTTGCAATCCACGGCCGTGCAGAAGCCTTCCATGGTCCAGCCCGAACGGTAGTGTACATCAAGTCGAATCCCAGCTGCCCAGGCTTTTTGAGATAGAGAAGACGCTTAATGGGCCGCTGAAGTCTGAGCTCAAGCGGCTCCTGCTCCTGCCTTAAAAGGCTGACAAGCTGATGACCTTCACAAGGCGTCCCGTTGATCTGCACAATGCGATCGAATGGAAACACCTGCCTCCCAAATCCAGAGCAATTCCACTCAGCAGCTGCTCCGTCACAACTTGCCAATATAATGCACTTGGTGTCCGAAACATCAAGGTCCAGCCGCTTCAACTCCTGCTGGTTCGACAGCCGCATGACCGTGTCATCTGCTTCCTCACCTGCATCTCAGTGACTAATGATTAATGGGTCTGATGGTCTGCGCTCTTGCCCTGAGCAGGAAGAATAGGTCTCCCCATGTCTCCCCAGTTTTCCCTCCAGAACCTCCGCTCCTAAGTACAAAATCACACGATCTCCAGTCCCGAGATCCTGCACTTCTACCAACGACTCGGACCAATGGTACTAAGTGGGTTGGCCTCAAACGCCTCATTTCAACCCCCAGGAAGCGTGCAATCCCAGCTCCCCGTCCCGGCCAATGGTGTGACAAGAGCTCACCAGATTGATCTGAGTGTCAAAGCTCTTATTGGGCAGGGCGTATATTCAGTGTTCCCATCAGTGGCACAAACGCAACGCGTGCGCGCCAAGGTCTGGACTGAGGATGCACATGGTGATTTCTTCAGGGCGTGGAAGAAGAGTTATCCCAGGTCTACATCGGAAATTCGGCTCTTCAGCCCAGGTGGCAGGACTGTGCTTTTCCTTCTGTCACACTTCTACAGTGGCCAGTCACCACTGTGTGGGTGCTATTTTTGCGCAAGGCCTGGTCTCCCCCCCTTTCCCCCCAGATTTCTAGCACGAGTTGTGAAGGGCTGAAGGATGCTGAAGGCGCCAGTTGTGAGCTCATGAGGGTTGAGGTTGTGGAGGAAGTAGCCGCAAGATTGATATGGTTGGAGACCATCGCTACTAGGGTAGATTGATATGGGAAGGCGCGGGGTCAGGTACCACCTCTCCGGGAAGGATGTTGTGCAGCAGGTTGGACGGCGTCTCTGAGAAAAACGGTGGAACATGGTGGGTCACTGACTGATGGACAGTGTCACCCCACATCACAATGTCCCAACAACGCAATTGAATGCTATTTGACACTAATTGGATTGGCAAAATGACTTTTTAGGGACACCATTCGGAGTGATCTTGTGGTGGAGTGGCGGATGTTTGTGTCCACTTGCTCATGTTCAAACAAAATGGGTGGAGGAAAGGGCATTGATATGAACCAGAAAGATCCAGAAAGACAACTTAATGCAAAGCATGAAAGGAAAGACAAGAAAGGTTGGATCCCACAAACACAGAGAGAGAGAGCGCGCGACAGAAATAGATACAGTAGATACATAGATCGATAGAGAGAGACAAACGGACAATCGGACGGACGGACAAACAGACAGACAGATAGCGAGCGAAGAGGCAAAGGCAAAGAAAGGGAGAGAGAGAGAAAATTGCCGATGCCCTGGGTACCCTGCCCCGTAAATTCACTGGATTAATTTGGATCATGCCTGTCAACTGTACATACCATTATGACTCCACAAATCATCACTCATATTCACAGATCAACGCAACAGTATATTTTTATATATACATGATCTTGATATAATTCACAATTTCATTTTCCTCACCCAGGTATGGTAACAGTGGATTGTTGACAAGCCTCTGCACAAGATTCTCTGGCTCTTGCCTGTCTGGATGAACATCAATCCGAGTATATGCTACGCACGACTCAAACCATGTATACAAACTTCTTGCTGAAAACTAATCGCAAAAGATCCACAAAAATTGATCCACCATGTCACCCCACACTGTGGATACAAGGCTTGGGAGGGACACATGGAGGGATATGAATACAACACGCTTGCAAGGGTGAACAGTTTTTCCTTGCTGAGCAAAGTATGATGAGAGGCGTCCTAGTGGCCAGAAAAGGCAGGCATAGGCATTGGCGGAGCCTTTTGAAGATCCACTGTGGCATCTTTGGCATTGACATCGGCGATGCTGCAACAACATTGCATGTCGACGCAACAACCGCCCCAGCTTCTGAGCAATAAGGCTAGGGTTAGGGCTTTGTCGCCGAGTTTGCAACCCATCTTTGGCCCCCTTTTTGGTCTGCAAACGCTTGACGCAAATTTGGCCGCGCCTTTTTGCTGCCGCGATTCGGCACAGTTGAGAGGCGCTCAATAGTCAAGCAACCAAAGGAGACACGTGAAACAGTCAAATGTGCAAATGTTCTCCATCGACTTCAATTGCTTTGACGTCAGTCTTAGAGAAACTCGGAAGCTGCCAAACTTCAGCTGCCGCCCCATGAAACTTCCCAAGAATCCATGTGCCATTAGTAGCACCACAAGCAGCTAGCCATCGACCTTTATCGCCCTCTGAGAAATCATCGTGAGACCTTGTAGCGCCATGGTTGATGTCGTGTAACTGCCATGGTCCAAGCCAACTTCGGCGTGAGAAGCTGTAGTGGAACAAGTCACCAGCTGCGGTTATGGCCAAAGCATCATCCCCGTTGAGCGCCAGAGCGCTCCATGCACTTGGCCTAGGCTTGTGCCCACAGAAGGTCCACATAGGTTTGAAATTGTTTTAGTAAACCAACATTTGAAACGAACCAGAGCCTTGACCATACCCTTGGCAGTGGCAAAGGTTGGAACATTGCTCCCAAACAAAGCAAACTGTCCTTTTAACTCATTGTTTTGGTCTTTTTGGTCTATCACTAGATTTCTCACAACTCCTTGAATATATGAAGCCCTTCTTCAATTTCTACGTTTTCTTGGGCTCTGTTGCCCCACTTTGTCTCCACCGCCCTGCGTAGGGATCATTATGGTTGTTTTGTTTTTGGGCTCCACTTCCCAATTGTTTGCTCCACTGCATTGCCCATTTCTTTCCTGCGGCTACCCTCAATAGATGAGGGGTACACCGGTATAGTTCTTGTGTTTGAACCTTGCTTCTTTGTTGCATGCTGCATGTGGACCCCCCTTCTGAATTCCAAAATGTTTGGTGCAAATCCTCATGGGACTATTTGCTAAATTGCCAACCATGGCTCAAAATCAACCTGCAAAGGGATAGCCTGCGTGAAGGCTCCATGCCATAAATGGTCCCAACCCCCCAAAAAGGCTAAGATAGGCTAAGGTTTCTTTGGTTCCTGGAGGCTGGATGTTTTTTTAGTTTTAAACTTTACTTATTGCGTTGTGATTGGGCACCATTGCACCTGTTTGTTGTTTCTGCTTTTGATGGGTTCATGAAAGAAAGGGAAGGAATCAATCAAATCCGAAAGCTTTTTGGGTGAGGTCCTTTGTCGCAACCTAGACCCCAAAACAACTTACAAAAGGCATCCACACCCAAAACAAAAAACCTTTTGATGATGTTAAATGATCCCAAGGAAAGCCAACTGCAAGTCACAGGCAACCACAAGGGATTCCATTGGATTCCCAATTCCTGTGTCCAATTTCCAAGACAATGTTGCGAACAAAACATTTTTGGCCAAAACTCGGCGATTCTCAAACACCCCTGGAAAAGAGCAGAAACCGTTTTCTGCTTTTGCATCAAGGTAGATCATCTGGATCGTAGGTTCAAGACAGAACATCTGGACCATAGATTGAAAGTTGCTCCATGAGGAAGCTGGAAAGGGTGAGGGTGAAGAGATGGGGTTAAGGCCCCCTCTCCATGCAAAAAACACAATGAATATTAATAAATCAATTTTGAGGCGTGCTGCTCCCTTGCCCACCCCTGGAAAACCGCTTTCAGGGGTGTCTTTGTTTACATTGCAAGCGTCGGGAGTTTTGACAGAGGAGGCAAGGAAACGAAAGCGACAAGTGCAGATCCACAGGCAGCAATATGGATTGTTGCGCTGAGGATCCTGTGGTGGTGCTAGGTTGCGGAATGGAATCAACTAAAGCAAGAAAAGCAATGCCCAGATAATTGCAAAGGGTTCCCACGTCAGTTCACGCGGCTCCTGCTTGACAAGACTTGCCGTGTCCGGCCAGGTGAGACAGAGAAAGCATGCAAACTCAAAAAAAGTTGCCGGAAGCAAGATCAAGAACGGAGCGCTTTTGCAATGGAAGGCACCAGGCCAGGCCAGCCAGCAGTGAGAGACCAACTGCTAGTTGGGAGGCCAATCACACCACCAAGGCACTTGGGCCTTAACAAGGGTCGGGGACAGGGTTAAGATTCGCAGCTTCTTCCGAAAAGCAACCACTTCCACCTTGAGCTGCTGCAAGCTTTGCTGCAATGCAAGGCGTGCTGTACAAGTACCAGGTAGGTGGGGGGTGCAGGATTGTGCCTTTGCTGCACATGGGCATCAATGTTGCAAGACATCATTAAATTTGTTTTTTCGGCTGCCAAGTCACTTTGAGGGGGTTGTTTGCCACTTCACACCAGCCACACCCGTAGTGGCTTCCGCAAAATTTGACTAAGTTTCGGCTGCCCAAAACAATTTTGAAGGAGCCACTACGGAGGTCTAAAACCTAAGTGGCCAAATCTGTTTTCGCCTGCCCCAAATCACAAATGTGGAAGGTCTTTGTGGTTTTTAAGCCGCCATAGTCCTAGACCAGGCTTCAAACTAATGTTTCGTGGCATCAACGTGTCAGTAATATACAAGGCTCAAAACTCATTTCGCACTCAAATTCTTGACTTCGTCATGAAACTATATATCTCGGCAAAAGCCTCCAAACATGTTTTGAAACAGAAGGTCTAGAGATCTAGACGTGTTGGGTTTGAGAGAGGTCTCAAGGTCTAGAGGGTGAGAGATCTTATGGGATCTAGAGACCTCGAAAGTCAATTGGTCACAGATGCCTAAAGGTCTAGCGTTGTAGAGGCGTGGCACTCTCTCTCTCTCTCTCTCCCTCGGTCTGTAGGTGTAGAGGGGATCTAAAATTTGAGAGTTCTAGAGTCTAGAGGTCTTGAGATCCAGGAAAGCTTGAGATCCACAAAGATCTAGAGGCTCAAAGATCTAGAGGCCCAAAGATCCAAAGGTCCAGATCTAGAGGCCTAGAGGTCTTGGAACTCTAGATCTAGAGGACTGGAGTTCAAGATCTCAAGGCCAAGCTCAAGGACTAGAGGCTCGAGGGTGGGAGCCTGGAGGGCACACATATGGGAGCACGTGTACTGCGCCCGCCACGAAGCCCACTCCGAGGCTCACAGCGTGCTGCGCCTGCCACAAAACTTGCATATGAAGGTTTTCATATCGCGCGGCCTTCCCCAGGCGTTTCGCAGCTAAAGCCCTTCCAAAGACAACGCCAAGATAAAACGCAGCTTTCGCCCACGACTTCCTCCGACTTCTGAAAACGAACCACATGTAAAAAGTCATGATTCACTGCACCTGCCACGAAATCCGGGCGTGCCGAAGACCACCGGTCCAAAGTTCTGCAAGCCTGCGCAGTCGAAATGAACTTAGAAGATTTCGAAGTGAATGAATGGCACCGTAAATAGCAGCGAATTAGCCGGATGCTGCCGCGAGCACCTCGATCAACACCAGGCCTCAAAACCCTTACCGTAAGAACCCCTAGTGCGACCACACTGTTCGGGGCCAATACGACTTTCGTTTACTTTCGCTATTAAGAGGTTGCCCTGCCGAAATTTGGATTTCTGACCAATAGAAATAATCCAAGTCCGTTTGTGTGTAAACACAATGTTTGTGCTGATGCCCACTTGCACTTACACTTGCTGCAAAGTGTGTGCAAAGCAAAGTTGCTCGTGGCTTGGCGTTGGCAAAACTCCAGCTACCTGCCAGGCGGGCCCATCTGGTTCCAGCATGACAAAGCGCCCCCGCCACACAGCAATGCCTCTGGAGAAAAAAGAGAAAGCAGGATCCACTGATTGAACTTACTACTAGTATAATCTACAGTATATATATATAACTGCTCTCTTGAAGCTTCGGCCAAGTACAAGGCCCCACTAGGGGGCAATGCTCTGTCCTTGACCAAGGAACACTAGCACTTTTGAAGGAGCATAAACAGAGCTTGAACAAATGATGCAAATGCGATCGAATGTGTCTTCTGACTGGTCTTGGCTACGCGGCGCCTTGTTGTGTGCCTGAGACAGTGTCCAATGCGATCGCCTCAAATTGGGGCGCCATCTGCTTTGGTGATGCGCAGCCGGTGCTTGAGAGAGGCCAAATGCGACAACAGTCGTCTTCTCCTGGGCTTGTGCTACATATATAAGGCACGTATGAAGAAAACACAACTTACATCAACAACAACCCAGAGCAGGATAGCCAAAGCCTTACTTCCAAAAACCCGGTGTCTTTGGGCAAACACTTCGCCAGTAGAAGACAGAGCGATGGCGGCCACTGCTGTTCCATCACAGGAGATCGGTCCCTTCCACAACGCGTTGCCTGGCGAGCGTGAGGTGAATGCTCGAAGCCCATCTGATACTCCGAAGTCAGCCGAGAGGTCTGAGCTGGACGTGCAGCTAGCAAAAGCTGTGAAGAACCAAGATCGGGGCATTTTGAAGCTATAAAGCTGCTTGAGAAATTTGATTGATTCTTTAGGTGGATTTGCAAATGCAATGTTGCGATGTCCCTCATTCTCCAAATGTATCGCAAGACGTGTTTGATTCAGACTCGCCAGCGTCTCCCGCGCTTCACTAGGCTGTGCGTTGATAATGGCACTGGTAATTGGAGCCAGCAACCATGCGATGCTCACAACCGCGGAGCTGGCCTGGAAAAAGCGCCGTGCAGACTGGCCCATGCTGCTCTTTGCGGCCTGCCCTTTTGTGCGGAACTGAGCTTCAAAGGCTTTCAAACTGGCTGCAGCATCAGGTGCCCCACCATAGGCGGCCAAACGTCCAGCATCTCGAGACGTCCAGGACGACAGCTTGGGCTTCATGGCGCGCAAAAGCACAGCTGAAGTTTCCATGAGTTCGCCAACACTCGTCTCATAGCCTTTGTTCCGTCTCAGGAACAAACTCACAGCATGCGCGTCACCTAAGCTAACCCAAATGCGATGAGAATCGTCTCGCGACAGCCAAAATCCATCATGGGACACCACGGATGTTGGTGTGGATCCCTCTGACAGGGTGCGACGAAGTGGATCGTTTCCACTCACCCCCTTTCCGCTGCCCTTTGCTCTGGACACTTCGGGCCATCCGACGTGGACCAAGGCTTGGACAAGGCGGTTCCTGGATGAGCGGATCTGGTCCACAACCTCTTCCTCCAACTGGGAGGCAACATCTGCCGCCAACAAGGCGTCCAAGCATTGCAGCAACTGATCTGCCGCCGCAGCAGCGGCTGGTGGAGGTGCTCTTGACAAACTGCTGGAGGGCGCGAGCCTTCCTGCAGCTGTACAGCTGTTTGGGGCAAATGGGTTGAGAATGTCGATGTACAATGATGCTCGCCAGCGCCTGGGCAAGCCATTTCGCAGTGCGAGGGCAGAGCCGCAAAGGAACCAAACCCAACAGCCTTGCAAAAGCGCAGCTAGGATCATCAGGCTTTGCTTTTCGCAAACAATGGCCACTGCAGCAGTCAGTGGCCCAGACAAAGCCACTGCTGCCCACAATGCGTGCTCCACCCGCTTCAAGACAACATCAATTGTCACAGACCACCAGGCCAGCACAGACATGAAGCCAAAGCAAAACCAACCAGAAGCGAATGGAGCAAGCTTATCACTGCCACTGCGGCTAAAGTAAGTTGCATAGTATGCAATTCCAGACAGCAAGGTGCTAGTCCCAATGGACATGCACACCTTGCTGTAGAGGTCAAAAGTCTGCCAATTTCTCATTAGCAATGAGTAGAATTTCAAGTGTGGATTCGCATCAAGCTCCTCATTAGCACACGGCTGGTCTAGTGTGGGCAATGCCTGCGGCGATCCGATCGAACTTCGATTTTGAAGTCCAGAAGGTGGATCTTGTTGCTCAGGGACGGGTGCCCATGGGACCGGCGAAGCTCGGTAGGCTCGGGAGGTCGAGTTGAGTGTATCACCCGTTGCGCCACTGGTGCCTCCGGTGCCTTGCAAGGGCAACCGCAAAGCATCAAGACTTGTTTCGTATGCCTTTGCTGCTGGTGCTGCCGATGTGATCTCCTGGTCCGTGGCTACAGGAATCCGTGCGGCTTGCAGCAGCATCTTTGTCGTGAAGGATTGTGCGACGATTGATGCGTGCATGGACAACCATATCGAAATCAGCAAGAAAAGAAATGATGTAAGAAAGCACACGGAAAACAACAGTGTTACCTGCCGCTCCATGTATCCAGGATGTTGAACCCCATCTGAGCGATCATAGTTCAGGAAAATAGTGACAATGAAGCCCAGCTTCAGTGTGTTGACAATCAAATAGCTGTCCATCTTGTTGACGGTCAAGGCTGCAAGGTCACGAATATCATCCCGAAACAAGCTGTAGCGGCTCACCGCCATGTTCTGCCGCTGAAACTCACAGGCTTGGCGAACTTGCCAATCCCACTGCCAATTCTCCCGATTGTACGACCATAAAGAATGAGCAAAACCACCAAACAAAGCTGCTTCTGCCACCGGCATTGCGAAAACCCAAAGAGTCAATCAGGCCTGGCACTCGAGAAAGGTGTGGCGGCTGCGGCCATGATTCTCACATTCTTGCGCTCGCTCTGGCGCTCGCTCTCTCTCGCTCTTTCTCGCTCTCTCCCTCTCTCGCTCTCTGGCTCTCTGGCTCTCTCTCTCTCTCTGTGTTTGCGTGCTCATAGGCTTCGGTATGTGGCAGCTTTGGAAGCGCTGATTGCATGATGAATGAGTGAGTCTATGAGTCTGTGTTTCACCTCAGGGGTGGGCATTTCCACCTGCAATTTCTCAGCGGAGGCCTCGTGCAGCATGACACCCTCGGTCTGGGATCATTCAATGACTTCCCTGATTGAAATCACATGGACCCCTACAGTCAGCTCAGTCATCTGCTGAGACTTCCAAGGTCCAGTTTTTTCCCAGGACCTATGGAGCCTACACACACAAAAGAATACAGAAAGAATAGGTGGACAGCGTACCCTACAGCCCAATAGAACTAACGAGTTAAAAGCACATTGGTGTCAATTTATCAACTCATAGGGGTTCCTGGTGTGTGGTTTGTATTTCGTCTCCTTCCTTCATCTTTGTTCCCGACAATGCCAAACAATGTCATACAGTCTGCAACATGCCACTTCTCTGGGGGCGTTGAGAATGAAAGTTCCAGCATAGGTAACCACTTCCCTCCTACTGCAATACTTATATATATATATTTAATTTCAATGACTTCTGGAGGGCTGAGGTCAGCTCTTGTTCAGGATTTGACCTTACAGTAAGGAGTCTTGCCAGCCAGGTAAAGCCAGGCACTTCATGAATATCTTGCTACTCTTCACATGACTTCGCTTCCACTCAGCAGCTTGGGCAGCCACTCTCCCACTGTGTCTAGGAACTCCCTGAGCCTGACCGGTCTTCGCATGAAGAAAACAGCGCGAGACATCGCGAGACGAGTCACTGAGGAACCGGCTTGGAGAGTTGATGTACTTGACCATCTGGCAACGCCTGACGTGGCCAATCCATGCTGCCAGGGTTCTATGAGAGGCTTTAATGCAAGAGGTGTCGAATCGCACACAAGCTATTAGAAACAAGAATTCAATAGAATTGTAAATTCAGTTAATTAGAATTCAATTAGAATTGAAACAAGAAGCTACTAGGCTGGGAATGCCAAGCACCTTCGAGAATATTATGTTTGCTATTCCTTGCCTCCAAGAGTTTGAGGACCTTGTCCAACAACTCCAGCACGCAAAGCTCCTGCACTTTTCACAAAAAGAAAGCACCCATGACATAAACAATTCTTCCAGTACCCGTGCAGGATGCTCCGGATGCCCATGTTGCCTTCTTGAATACATTTCCTCTAGTCTCTGCCTCCACCAATCCAGATTCCCGAGGGCATGCGTAACATCTGTGCCATTGTTGAAGTGATCCTTTGCTCCCCTCATGTGGGGAACCTTGCACTTAAGTGACATATGCCTAAGTTCATACAAGTAGGATCAAAGGTCTCCTCCAAGTTTCCCAGCAAGCTGTTGACCATTTTCATCCAATCTCTGAAGATCCTTAGATGCACGAATTCGCCACCCCTTTGACATTTTAGTTTGCAATGAGCATGCTGCCAACCTGGCCGGTACCAGCTATGAGTGCCACGACCTTAGGACCACCAAGTTTCTGAGCGTTTGTTTGCTTGTCTGTTCGTTTGTTTGCTTGCTTGTTTTTCTTTTTTTGAGCCCTTGACGAGCAATTGAATAGCTCATTCTGAGTTGAGCACTGTTGGGAGAAACCGCTGGGTATAGGTACGCTAGCAGGCTTGGAATAACCTCCTTCCGGGCTGTGCTGCAAGAAATGGTGCAAGCCGATGATACCAGTCGGCAAGGCATCCAAACCTATTCTAGGTAAGGTTGCTGAACTTTTGGTGGTATGAGGGGCAATCCGCACGTCGAGAAACTCGTTGGGACACCACCCAACCACACCAGTGTGCACCCCAAAGGGGGAACAATCAAAAAGAATGAGAAACGATATCTTTAACAGTAACACCTTGTGAGGCCTAGACTAGGCCTAGACTAGGAACAAACATTTTTCTCACACCTACCTTCATGCATGCGTTCACCATCGATGTGTCTGCGCATGTCTGCCTCCATCAGCTCTGGCTCATTTCTGATGCGGCCTCGGATCTGGGCGACCTGAAGCGCTCGGTCCGAGAAGTGACGAGGACCGTTCGCGCCACTTTTGAGGTGCATGTTTTTCCATGTTGCAAGTCTGAGAGCTATGCTGCATCGTTAACCTTGGACAAAGGGCCCACGGAAGCCCGTGAAGCCTTGAGCTTCAGCAACTCTTGGGAGCAGGCAGCTTCAATGAAGACTCGAAGCCTAATCTTGTGGGACCTGAAGCGCAATCCACTCAAGTCGTTTGCAAACTCTTCCAATGATCTCGCACCTAACCAAGTCTGCCAATGCCCTCGTAAGTCTTGCGGAGTCTGAGCAACGTGTGGCATGACGATGCTGCACGACCATGAGGGCAATGCAATTCTGGCGCCAAGGACCGTGCAAGCCGGGTTGGCTGAGAATGCCAACATTGTAGTCACCTTGGCGGAATGACACAAAAAGGCAAGGACTGCCATGGCACATGGTAAAGTGGCACCTGCAAAGCTTTGCAACCGAACAAGGGACATGAACATGTCTGGCCCATGACAATGCCATCTGCTGCAGAGTCCGGAACCGTCCGTCTATATGTCACTGGACTAGACCCTGCAGAGCGCCACAAGCCCTTTACCCTCAACTTTCCCATTCTATCCCTGCATGACGCATGTGCAACAATATAATATGCAAAACTGCAAATACGTATGTAAATATACTGTATTGCACGCATTATCAAATTAGATGAAGCTGGACCTAGCTCTTTGTGCTCCGTAGGGGGGAAGTCTTCAAGGACAGGTCCACAAAACGGGATCAACTGCCCCAGCTTCTTGGAGAAATGAGATTGCAAATTCACCCATTTCCCCAATCTGAGCTGGAATGCTAAATCTAAAGCCTAAATCATCCTAAAGATTCCTAAAGCATGAGGCAAAGAGCACGACTGCTATGTCACTGTATCTTCACTTACCAAGCTTGCGGCTAGCATGTGATTGGCTTCATCCCGGTCCTCGCCAATCAACTCTCCGAGCGCACTTGAGAGATTCTCACAAGCGCCTCTTCGGCCGAGAGCTTGCTCAAGGCAAAGTACTGCCATGCCGCCTGACTATGTTAGGCAAACCCATGGGAAACGAATGAGCAAACTTACAAAAGAGAAACATGTTCATGAGAACAGCAATCATATTCCAGATCATTCCAGCTGCTTGCAGAATTGGAGATAAGAGGATTGAAACAAGTCGATTCTCCCCAATGACAGTTGATCAAAGCTCTGAACAGTGCGCCTGCCAAGTTTCGGCGGGCGGGGCTGCCTTCAGCATCTCATCCACGAAGGTACTGAGACATGCACTTGTACAAAGGTTTCAGCAAGGCAAGCTCATGAACAGCATGTTTGACGGCCCTTGGCTGTTTCCTGCAGCCGTTTCTAGAAACAAAAAATCACGGAAAAGAATTGACTTCCTGGGATGCACCCGGTGCTCCCAATGTCTCGAACCTGTAGCTTTTGACGTCCGCCAGATTCTCTTTGCACATCGGGCGCGTGAATTTGCACACAGCCTAGCAGGGTGTATGTATCCAGTGCTGTTTCGCATCTTGCGCGATGCGGAGAGCCGCGATGCTGCCGCAATGAGTGGAGTAGGCTGATCGAGAATTGAGACGCAAATGTATTTCCGTGCCGTTTACTTTTTCTGAATTGCTGAAAAGCCTCCAAATCAGGATGCTCACTGACTTTCCCATTCTTTTTGGCATGATGAACGTGCATATACAGTGGGCTTGCTGTACAATCTTAAAGGCAACATGAATATCACGGGAAGTGGTGTAATTATTCATTTCAAGAAGCAATGCAGACGAATGTGACGTCACCGGGCAAGTGTTGGAAGGTCTTGAATCTGACAAATGAAGAAACATAGCAGGTACACACTTAGGCACAGGCATGCATGCGAAAACCGCTGATGTGCTGCAACCCGTCAGCTACGTTTCAATATGTTTCAATAATAACATGCTGGCCTTCACGCGCTGCATCTCAGGGTCATCGCCATCCACACCTGACAAACTTACGGATGGGCGCTCGAGGGGCATCCGAGCTGGGTGCCCGCACAAGGACTAACGGCACTGAACTCACCTGGGCAGTTGAGCAGAACTGGTGAAGAATTGCAGCACAAGTGGATAAGTCGCCTAGACATGCCTAGACCATCATTGTATGATACATTATGATACTGATAAATCCCGTCCAATCGAGCAAAGGTTTGTTCGGCCCCCCTGCAATTAGAAACTAACGTCGAGATCTTTTATCTGTGTTTATTGAATTTTATTGGTACATGGATGTGCACCGCGCATTGTAAACCCTACAAAGGCCTTGCCAAAGGTCTATATGGCATAACAAAGACACTGGCACCGAGATAGTTGCAGTTCAATTCCAACACACAGGTTTCTTTTTGCACGGGCGGACTACAGTAAAACACACATGTGGATGTTGACATGGCGCCTGCCCACTAGTCAAACAAAATAGGCAAGGCTGTCAATATTGTATCTGCCATGCATCGTGCCAGCAAAAATCGGTTGGAGTAGAACTGCAAGTGATGAATTGACCTTGATGCACCAGGGGAAAAACATGCGGATCCAGTGAAACGGCATTGGGCGCCAGGCAAAATCCATCAGAAATAGTCAGAAATAAATTTTCAAAATTGTAGACCCCGTGATCCCCGTGCTTTTGGATTGCAGAGTGATTTGCCAATAGAATCAAATAGATGGCACATGAAAACCGGGTTGTAAAAATGGCATGTGAGGCGGGAAAAACCTCGAACACCTCGAAAGCGGCAACAAGCAGCAAAAACACAGCTTTGCCCTTTTCTTCTTTTTACTTTTTCTTTTTCCTTGCCCTGCTCTTTCCTCTCTTCTGATTCCTGTTTCATTTCAGTCTGCTCTCTCTTCTTTCCCCTTCATTTTGAAGATGTTGAACATTCTTTCCCCATTCCCCCGTTCCTGTCTCCCCTCCCATCCCCTGTCATGTGCCATCTTAGCTTCCCTCCATTTATACAGCAACTGCATCTCCGAGGTCTCCCACCGCTGTCTCCTCTCTCTCCTCTGCACTCCCGTTTGTCTCCTCTCTGCCCTCTCTTCCATGTTATTTCATTTTTTCCCTTGCAAATTAACAACAAACGGCATGCCATATGCTACGTAAGTGCCATGAATATGTTCCCGCTCTCCCTCCCTATAGCGCACGGGGCGTTATCATGGCATATCGTCTAATTACAAAATCACTATATAAATACACACACACATATTGGTGCATTTTATCGTTTTGCCTGTGTCTGTATTTTGTCAACTTTTCGGGTGGTCTTGGATGTAAGCATTGTGTCCGCACAACATGGTTTATTGACAAGATCCCTTCACGAAAGTTGTTGTAGGAAAGTAATCTAGACCCCTTCCGGGTACACAAACGGGATTGATATGCATCATGAAACTATGTGAAACTGTTTTCTGCGAAAGCCGCGGAATTTCCCTGAGTTGCCGCCTTCAGCTTGTGGAAGAACCTGAGAATACATACACTTTCTATCTCTGAGCAGTGTGAACACTGCTTGCAATAGTGACTCAACACTTACAGTGCCACGACCTTGAGTTTGGAAGCGCGTGAACTCCTTGGAACACCAAATTCACTTGTACAACCTGGAGACGTCAATCGTGATGTCATTCGTGTTCAATACATTTCAATACACTCAGTTGGTTGCCCGGTCTTCTCCATCATTGACAGCTGAACCTGCCAAGCAAAGCAGTGAAGGCATCTTGCACGACATGCGCAATCATGTTTCAAAACCTGGGCTACACATGTCTTACTGTGAGGTTGGTTTGCTCACTTGGCTCACAAAAATTTTTGGGCCTCGCGAATCAAGAAGTTCAGATCCGCAAGCGGCAAACACTTCAAACTTCGAGCCACCTGACACTCAGCTTCCACCATGACTTGTGTAGCCAAGGGTGCTTATATATGCTTTCATTGTGCCGTGGCCCGTGTCGTTCTGCAACATCTCGGTTGAAAAACAACTTATGTTGGGGGATTGGGCAATTTTACACTTTTCGCGGAAGCCCGCCCTAATCATGGGTCGTGGTTACGCCGGGATGAAATTCTATGGTCACCACAAGATCATTAGCGCACCTATGCAAGCAAAACTTGCAGCGCTGACTGCCGGCAGATTGCCTTCCTGTTCATTTCCAAATTCCCCAAACAGTGTGGACACACTTGAGGGTTCTTACGGTAGTGGTTAAAGCACCAGGGCTAGATTGAGGTGACGGCGCGGGCGTGTCCGGCTAATTCGCTGCTATTTACAGTGCGTTCATGCCTCTCGAAATCGTCGACGTGCATCTCGACTGCGCAGGCTCGCAGAATCTGCGTGGGTGCGGCGGGTGCTTCTAGCGACTGCGCTCTCGTTGTGACGCCGTGCGCATTTTCGGACTTTTCGTGGCAGGCGCAAGGGAAACCTCGTGTTTTGGTGGTCTAGACTCGGCTTTTCGTGACAGGTGCAAGGGATCGGAGCGGTTTACTTCGAAATGCAGATTTCGTGGCAAGTGCAGCACTTTGGACACGGTGGTGATCTTCGAGGCGTTCTGATTTCGTGACAGGTGCAGTGAGTCATGACGTGGCAGGCGAAGTACTTTGTGGACCTTGCAGTGCAGATTTCGTGGCAGGCGCAGCGCTTTGTGAAGCACAACCGTTTGTGAACCTCAAAGTGCAGATTTCGTGTGGCAGACACAGCACTTTCTGAACCTCGAAGTGCAGATTTCGCGGCAGGTGCAGCACTTTGTGACCCTGATTTCGTGGCAGGCACAGCGCTTCGTGAACCTCGAAGTGCAGATTTCGTGGCAGGCATAGCAGTTTGTGAACCTTGAATTGCAAATTTTGTCGCAGGCACAGCACTTTGTGAACCTCAGCCTCGCGCAATAGTTTGTGAACCTCGAAATGCAGATTTCGTGTGGCAGCACTTCGTGAACCTCGAAGTGCAGATTTCGTGGCAGGCAAAGCAGTGTGCGAACCTCGAAGTGCAAATTTCGTGGCAGGCACAGCACTTTGTGAACCTCGCAGTGCAGATTTCGTAGCAGGCACAGCCATGGGAGACACAGCACTTTGTGAACCTCGAAGTGCAGTTTTCGTGGCAGGCACAGCACCTTTGAATTTGTGAGCCTTGAAGCGCCGATTGCGAGGGCAAGCGCAGCACTCACACACACTCACTCTCACTCTCACTCTCTCATCACTCCCACTCTTGCTCCCACACTCACACTCACACTCACTCACACTCACGCTCACACACGCACACACACACACACACTCACACTCACCCACGCACCCACTCACCCACTCACTCACCCACTCTCTCTCTCTCTCACTCACTCACTCAGTCACTCAATACTCAGTCACTCACTCAGTCAGTCAGTCAGCCAGCCACTCACTCACCCAGCCGGTCAGTCAGTCAGTCAGTCACTCACTCACCCACTCACTCACACCCTCACCCTCACTCCCACTCTCGCTCCCGCTCTCACACTCACTCACACTCACGGTTAACTCAATTCCCAGGTGGAAAGAAGGTGAGGGAACGGAAAGGCGCATGAGTCAGCAAAACAGTATTGTTGAACAAGTGTTTCTCAAAACGCTCAAGTGAAAGCGGCGATCAGCTGCGGCAAAA